AGTACGGAAGTTATTGTATATAGAGAAAAATAAAGGGTTTTGTATACCCTTCGTCTGTATCCAGTCTACTTACCACAATTAGTGAACATAGCTTTAGTAAGCTCTCTGTTCCGAGTCAGGTCCTTGTATGTTCCCGAAGAAGGTAAGAAGGAACATTGACCCTGATAAAGTGTGTTAGAAAAATTAGAATTGAAATTACACAGATAGAAGAAAACATGACTTTTTCAAATACACGCTTGATGTGTCAGGTCTAGCAGTGCAATACAATGATTATGTACAGTTAATTATTCATTTCGAATGTGATAAAAAAGTAATTTACCAGTCAAAGAGAAGCATTTTAAAAAACAACGATTCTTATTCTCCTAGTTATTTAAATTAAATCAAAGTTAATCTTTTCTTATGAAGATATTGATAGTTTCTTTTTTTCTTTGTCTGTATTGTCTTATCTTTATCTATTTTCAGATACATTGTGTAAAAATGTTTGGTAATTTTAAAATTATTATAATAAGTTAAAGAAATATCAAAACTGCTAAAAATTTTGGTGACCCCCTGCTACAGGTCTTACGACCCACAGTTTTAAGAAGCCCTGATCTAAACAATGAAGTTTTGTCATTCTGAGTACTGGACATTTGGCCGATCGCATTCAAGAGAAAATAAGTGAAGTGATATATCAGAATAATGAGCGTTTTTACATATTTTATTAAAAGAATTAAGGACATTCCTTAGTGAATTTCAGGATTAAGTTCCAGGAGAAGAAAAGATTGGCTTTTCAAGATTCAAACTCAGATAAAACCTAATGATGGTACGTGTCGTGACACGCATTGTACACTATCTGGCATTGAAAATGCAACATCAAGAAGGAGTGGCCCAAAAATTATGCAAATTTCAGGGTAGACGCACGTCACCGAGTAATGCGAATGATGTGAAATGCGCAGCTCTCCAGCGCACGTTCAAGAATATAAGGGAAGGAACCTGCAGAATGTTCAATTTTCGTGCCGTTATTTCTGCTAGGGAAATCATCGTAGAAAATTTGTTCTTGTCTCAGAGGTGTAAGAGCAGAAAATTCCAGGTGGTTGTCAACTGAGGCTATTCCAGCAGACAGACGATTTTACGAGGGGCATGGTGATCGGACTGGAGAAGTGTAGCTTGGTCCATATGGCAAATCTTAGCTGGCATACACCTGGACACGTTCACAGTGCACCGGCTGTGGCGATGGCGATGATGATTGGAAAAAGGAAATGTGGCTAGTTCGAGGAGTGCCGGTGCAGCCAGAGTGACGTCACCACGCGTGGATTGACGCATCCGTCGACAAGCAGTGGCCCACCCACAAGCCACTTCTACCTCCACTCTGCAGCGTGTTCAAGACACCCTGGGTGTTCCCATATCGACCAGAACCATTTGCCGTGGCTAGTGGCCTGCACTTGTGGAGTCCGTTAAGAAGACTGCTATTGTCCCCACATCACAGATGTCAATGTCTACAATGGTGCCAGAATGCCGGAATGGCACAGGGTGGTGTTCTCAGATGAGTCACGCTTCTGTTTCTCCAGTGATAGATGCCGCGTACGAGTGTGATGTCGATATGGACAGAGGTCCAATTCGGCATCAACTTTGGAATGTCCGACCGCGCGACATCATGCTTTGAGGCGCAACTGCGTACGATTCAAGGTCACCTCTAGTTCGTATTCAGGGTACTATGACCGCCGAACGATTCGTGATGATGTGCTGTGGCCGGTGACACTCCCCTACATTCACGGAGTGCCTAATGCCTTTTATCGGCAAGACGACCGACGACACACTACTCGCATCAGCCAACGTACTCTGCAAGATGTACAGATGCTTCCCTGGCCACCGTTCTCTCCTGATTTCTCACCAAATGAACACATTTGTGATGTGATTGGACGCCATTTGCAGACCCTGCCACTGCTGCGTTCAGAAGACGAACTGTGGCAAATGGTTGACAGGGAATGGAGAGGCATTGCTCAGGATATCAACAGTAGTCTCACTGACACTGTACCTAGACGTGTTGCTTTGTGTATCGCCGGCCAAGGTGGTCATACAACCTATTGACTCGACGCTCAGTATTACGCATATCCTTTCGAAATAAAGATCACTTATTGTTTGTTGTTGTCTCTGCCGAATTACATCACTTTCTGATTACTCCTTCTTGGTGTTGAATTTTCAGTGTCGGGTAGTGTATGAAATACAAACTTTCGAAGGCACTGCAAGAACATATTCATAACATAAAAAAAGAAAATTTTATAGATTACATGGAAACCTTTATTCTTTAGAAAAAATATCTGAAACATTTTCAGCATTTGATAATTACTAATTACGTCGTACAGAAATGAATGACACAAACGCTGCCACACAGCGGAATACAATTTATTAAGAAAAACTGATAGTGCATCAGTTAGAAATAGCCCCCGCCGATGTAAATACACTTCTGCCATCTGGCTGGGAGGTCTCAATGGGCTTTGGTAAACCAGTCTGTGGGGGTTTTGGTGCACTACCTATGGATAATTACATGCAATTCGGCAGAAAATTCAACATGTTAGCCTTTCACTGCGTCTTTCATCTTGTCAACAAGGCGTAGTCCGAGATCTTGGTTCGAGGTCACGGCTGTCACATTTGCTGCTGGTCGTCCCGCGCTGACAACTTTGGCTGCGGTCTCCACTCCACTGCTGAACTTGGCCAACCAACGGGATACGGTACGCCTTGAGGGTGCTTTGTTCCCGCACACCGACAATACGCTGACCGTGATAATCACCTTCCATCATTGCTGTCCACGCTCTCAATGACGACGGCGAAAGGGACGGGCGCTGACTTAAACCGTTCGCTTGCGGCCAGCTCCATCTATGCAGTCTGAGTAGCTCACGCCTCCTTGTGTTTATTTCACTTGTTTTCCCTTCGCATAGTGTAATAGTTTCGTTGCGAGACACTTTGTGTCAATTATTCCTGTACGATCCAAGAATAAGGCAAAGAAACATCTTTTGCTAGCTAATTTTAACAGCTACATATTTAAATTTGAATTCGGGACCTCCAGAGTTCGATTTCGGCGAGGACAATGCGGAGTTTCCTTACTTTGAAAAATTTCTAAAGAACTTTACAAGTAATGCCCGAATTAAAAAGGTAGTGGACGATAATTTGTCACTACCAGGATTTGGCGACTAGGTCGACTAATCTCTAGTAGCCCTTTTAAAAGGGGGAGTAAATACGGTATTTTCTCCCTCCCTTCCGCATGCGTTCGTGGCATAACTGGAAGCACGCTCGACGCGTATCCAGGAGGTACGGAATTCGAGCCCCGGCGAGGGCACTGCACATTCTTCACGTTTCTACATCGATATAACCTAATGACTCTACGCAGAGCTGGCTCATTTCTAGGTATACATATTTCCCATCTTTAAAAAGCATTCCTGTGAAAGTGTTAGTTAATCGAAGTGACGTAAAGCGAGAATACAATTACCGTAAGTTTATATGAGAATAATATTTGAGCGTTCTTCGGTCTATAATAAAACTTATTAAATCATATCAGATAGTTCTTCAAACCTAAAATAACGCTAAAAGAAATGGCCTTATGATAAATGCAAAGTCCGCACAGCATATTCCTTCTTATAAAATGCGGAAGCACAGGAAAAGTAAAAAGTGGCAGCGACGATGGTATATTAAAGTTGAGTCGCCGAATATTAGTATTAGGAAATGCAGAACTAACATGTGGAATGGAAAGGATATGCATCTTTAATTAATATATGATCATCGTTTGTTCCCGTCAGGTCACCTGGGTCTACAGTTTTTCGCACGTGTCTGTCCCTGACACTGTCATTTTTACTGTTTGGCTGGTTCACTAAATAACTCTCAAGAGACAGGATTGTATTTCTTTCATCTTTATTTAATTACACAGATCCTAGATATCTATAATAAGTGAAACATTCTGCATGACTGTCAAAAACACGATATTATACCCGGCAGTCTTGTTACCACATGCAAATTACACAAAGTTTGCTTTTATACACTACTCGCAAAACTCACATGAACAGCTCAGAATCAGAAGTTGAGTTCTGTCGTGTGTTTTGGCTGATATACAAAGTTTGAAATGGCAGCTTACTTGACACATTTTTTTCAAAACATTTTATAGCTTTCCTTGGGCAAGTAAAATATTCCTCAAAACCGACATAAGCCTATTTTCACAATTTAATTCAATATTAATTCTAATTCATTTTTTATTTTCATAATTTTAAGCAATTTAATTTCTGTCAGAAAATTTAATCAGTGCAATTACATTTTCCACTAATTTCATTTTTGCAGGTATCCATACAACTCAGTTCTGGAATTTTTATTTTCCCATTTTATCAAATTACAATCTTACAATTCAACTTGTTTCATACCATCACATCAATTTTTTTCCCTTCATTATGAAATTCTTTTAAACAGGCTCTTAATTGTCTTTTTCCCTATTTCGTTCAGTGTATTTTTTATATAATAAATTTATTATTTAATTACTTCCTCCGAAAATTTGGGCTTACCACCTTTCAAATCATTTCTCAATTTAATTTTATTGAATTATATGACCTTTCTTCTATTTCCTCAATTTGGAAACTTTTATTTACGCAAAAAATTATGTTAAAAGATTCTTATTTGCTTTATTTTTAGGTACATTAGCTTCTAAATTAATTTGGTTTCATAACCTTAAATTTTAATTTTAAAATTTAATTACTTTTGTTTTGCAACAGTTATTTAGCAGCTTTGCCATTTCTTATTTTTATCAATATATGCTAGTTGCATGTATATGCATACATGTAGATAATGTAATTTTATAACTAAAGAATGTTTGTTACAGAATGTTTACTAATAAGACCAATTTTTCAAGGATGTAATAATTTTTGAAAAGAAATTAGAGTAAGCATAAATTTTGGATTTCTTCAACAATCTCAACAGTTGGCAATGCAAATTCATTGAAGATAGTTTACTAGAACATTACACAGCCTGATATTTTAAGAAATATATTCAGACCATTTAAAATAAAATTTATTCAAAAATAATCTACATTAAAAAACACATCAAAAATACAACTCTTTTAGTTTTTTACGTCTTAAAGACCTTTTGGAGCTTTTTGGAACAGCACTTGATTGCCCATTAGAATCCTGGCTCCTAAAATAATGAAAATTAACATATTCTTAAAAAATATATATAAAAAAGTTAACAGGCTTACATGAAATTCTTCCTGTGCAGAATAGAATGTAAAATGTAAACTACACAACTTTAAAAAAAAAGGCTAAAAGTTTGAACGAAACATAACTCACATTGATTTTATGAACTTTTCAGCTCTGAAAGAATTATCTAAGCTTATTATTACAAAACTATTGAAAAGTGATAAAACGAATCTGAATTTTACAATAATCTTCTGAATATGAATCTTTTATTCACCAATCGCAGAATCTGAATTTATCTACCTCACATAAGTATTAATGACATTTCTCAATTAAATAATACTGCCATGTTTTTGATATTGGTGGCTGATGCTACCAAACAATTATGTTATGATCTAGTAGATGTCTATCATATTGGTATTGTGACTGGTGACAGCAATTACAATGCTAAAAAACATTTCTATTACCTGTTCATTATTTTACACTTAAGAATAATATGACGGCAAAATTACTTAAGCCAGATTCTCTTCAAAATGAAACAGCCTCTGAAATAAGCAACTATTATGTTATTGCCCTGGAAGAAAACCAAACCAATAAGAGTAAATACATTGCATTTTTTATGGCAACAATGTTAATAACAACCCTGAATGAATTCAAAGAGCTTGTATGAACTAAGTGATTGAGAAACAGAACAGTTAACTAAACAACTATCTTCCAGGAGTAGGATGTCCTGTTCATGTAATTTCATATTACTCTAAAGAAAGCCTCTGATGTATTAGATGTTAATGAGGGAAGCCTAATAATTAAACTGTTCAATAACTTCTCCTGTGTGAATGCTTTGATGAAACAGTACAATTCACATTATTAACATATTGGAATGTAACAGAAACATGTAAACATACTGAATGATAACATACAGCATTAATCATATATGATTCATACCAATACTTTTGATAAATCTTACATCTCACCCCAAATAAGACAAATTATTCCACATGTTCTTAAAATAAGAATATTATTAAAGAAATAATATAAAATAAAAATACTGTATTGGATAAGAAATTTAGGAGAATCTCCCCTAGCAATTTTGTTTACTGACAGCATATAACATGAAAATATAAATAACAATTATTTCACTATAAATAGAATGCTTAATAAAAGAGTAGAAGGGAAAACTAATTTTGAAACAACCCTCTCACATTTGAAAGATTCTAGTTTTAAATCAGAAAGGTACTGATTTCATTTTGACCTTTATCATGGATCATTTGAGTCAACATTTATTATAAGAAGAATGATGGCAATGTCTGCAATTCTACAAAAGTAGTTTCGTTGTTTCTTTGCTTTTCTTCCTTCACTATGGTATTAGACAAAGGATTAGGAATACCAAGAATTAGAAGCCCACAACATGCCAGTTTCCCTTTAATCATCAACATTGAACTCTTAAAAAATTTAAGTACTAATAATCAACTTCCTTGTTTACTATTTTGACTTGCAGCAGAACTTCAACTTGAAAAGTTGTAGTTAGGCTTGTACTAGCACCACAGCATTAATTTGTTTACTTACTTAGGTGGAAAACTGGTGGTGGATGTAACTTGAATAATAAAATAACAGAAAAAAAGCAAAATTTGCACAAGCATAAATAAATATGGACATTTATGCAGAGAAACATAATGTAATTATTAAAATCTTATCCGGATAGTTTAACAAAAATCTAAAATTTCTCATGTAAGAAAGTTCAATTACTGATTTTTATTGCGTTTTATAAGAAAAAATGCAAAAGCTATAAATATTTTCATACATTTAACAGAAACTGAAGTAAATTTTACCAAAAATTACTACAACTGAAAAGTTTCTAGAACCATTTCCTAAAGTCAAAAATGAACTCTACCAGTTTCATGAGAAGAAAGAACTTGGCATTTAGTTCAGAAAATCAATTGCTTGATATACTGGTGCTTCAACATAAAATAATGAAATCTATTTTGAGAACATGGTTTAACCATTTACAAAAGGAATCTGATATTAAAAATTAAAATATGAACTTGCAATTTTTCATGCACCATATCTTTAAAATGTAGGGCACATTTAACATAAATTCAATAATGATTTGGGGGCAAAATACAGAAATAGTTAAAATTTGTCTATCAAACACACAAAATATACTTTGATTTTAGTTTATAAATCAAATAAATCTCTAGTTTTCACTGCTGCATTCATAATGAGAACAAACAATTTTTTTAAACTTGATGCTCTTTCTTTTCTTGAGATACCTGGATGGATAAATTAAAGTAGTCACATTAGAATAAAGGTGGCTACAGAAAATTTTATCTGGAGGCATCAAATTCTTTCATTACTGCATTTTAGACATAAAATAGTGAAAAAAAGGGAGAAGGGAGATTTTTAATGTTCATAATGCATACTTCAAAATTTACTTTTATTTTATTTATTATTTCCAAATTTTTGTTTTGAAAAGTGAATTTAAATAATCAAAAATGCTAGTTGGATGAGTTTTATATTCCACTTGAAATTCTTCTTCATCTGATGATAGTAAATAATACCTCTAACAGACTGAAGTACTTGGAAATTAAGGCAATGAAAAATTGGGAGACTTTCACAGGGCAGTTTTGAGCATTCACATCTTTAATAACACCATATTGATAACTTAAAAGCAACGCACATGACAAATTAATTTCCCATCTTCCTTTGTTTTTATAATGAGAATCTATATCTACAAGCTGAGCTTAACCGGTACTACTTTTCACAAGTTATTGCAAAATACTCCTTTTGTGACAAGCACCTTAGCCTATGAGTTTTAACAGAAAGCAGGACATAGTCAAGACATAGGTGAATAAATTGAGACACTTATGTCAAACAAAAACTGAAAGGAGTGTTGAAAAATTAATATATACTAAATTAAAAATTAATATGAAAGTAATAAAAGTATTTAGAGGATGCTTCAGATGTTAAAATCTCTTGACATAACTTTGGTCTAGATTCTCACACTTCTTCAGACAATGTGTAAGAATCCTTAAAAGAGACCAGTACATGACATAAAATAAAATGATTCCCTTATGTGTTTCTTTATCATTAAATTTGTAAACATATGAAACCTTATATAAGTCATTATTGAAATTATTTCCTTTGTTTTGCTCTCTTTATCATTAAATTTTCAGTACACTTAGAAAGAAAATTCATCACACAATATAATATTCGATTTAGTAATTATGTTCAATGCTATAAGTTAGTCAAACCAAACATATTATATATTATGGAATTTTGATAAAGCATACAAACAAACCATTTGTAAGTGCTGTATTTAGCTTATCTCAACTACCAGATTTATAATCCTTACTACACAAACTAGAAATACACTTCAAATTATTTGAGCCTTAAAATTAAAATAAATTTATAACTAATTATAATAGTGCTTAAATAGAAATTAAGATGAAAGGGCATAACCAAATTATCATTTTTGTCTTCCAAAAGATTCTCTAACTTCTTGCAAAAATAATTAATGCAAAATAATCAAAACAAAAATATGACAGATCATATAAACTGCAATGCAAGAACTTACCTATTGTCAGAGGTATCAGATTTTTTGAAATCAGCAGGAACATTAATAACATCAAATTGACCAGATTTTGTTACAACAGCAGTCAACTAAAAGAAATAATTTAAAAACCCATCTGGTATAAAATGCCACAAAAACACTTTACATTTTTATTTACCAAACAAAAATTCTCATAATTTTTAAAAAGGAAAAATAAGAACTATTCAAAAAGGGGGAAAAGCTTTCAACAATAAATCACTTCAATTATACATATATGCTATTTTCTAAATTCCTAATTTACTTATTTAATAACAGGGTACTAAAAATTTGCTATTGCATAATTATGCTAATTTTAATGAAACTGTAAAGTATTTTATTTATTTAGTTGATGCATTTGAAACAGCCAATTTCAAATAATGCTGGAAATGAATCCCAAGGACGTAACTGAGGATGTCATATGCATCACATCCTGCACTTGGTAAGTATATGATTTATAAGTTGTGTTGGTCATTTTGCTGTGCAACCAAAACTCTTCCCGGGAAATGCGTGCCTGGCAAAAGTATTAATGAATACCTCTCAGAAGAAAACTACACAGAAGCAGAACCTTTCTCTGGTTGGTTGACTTATATCAAACAGAATTTGTTCTAAACGTCAAAATGCACCGGCACATATCCTTGAGTGCCTGGAGTTGTCTCTTGAGGACCTTTACAAGTCTCCTAAGTTTTTTTTCTATTTTCTGAAGGTGAATGGACTCGTGGACCTTGTCTAGTATATTCCTAGACATGGAGACTAGTAACAACAACAACAGAATTTAAAAGTCAAATTATTTCCCCAAAGACACAAAATATTGCAGGTATGTACAAAAAACAGATCATTGAGTGCAGCATTTCCCCAAATTTGCAGACAGAAATCTGCCGCTGAAAATAGTTTTACAAGGAAAGCACTTCTTAGACACTTCCTTATTGTATTTTGTATTCATAGGTCTGATAAAGCTATTCCAGTGTCCTCTTGTTATGGGCCATTAATGTAAGCCATGGACTTTGCACAAGTGATGGTGCTCTTTTTTTAAGAGTTGAACATTGGCTATCTGCACATTCTGAAGCAGATAATACATCCCTTAGACCACATGCAACTAAAGAATATACATGCAGCATTGGTTTGCAAAGTTTCATGTGGGTGACACTTTGTTGGGAAATACACCATGTAGATATTGATCAAAATCTATTTCAAAGTCTTCTAGGGCAGACAGTTTGTTGAAGCTGATCCCTTCTTAAAAGCCTATATGATAACTGAGAAATATAATATCTTTCATTCCACTGTGCTATGGTGTCCAGCAGCAAAGAGGCATTGTGAAGAATTTCAAAATATGGATGCTCCATGATCTCATTCATAAACAAGGCACATTGTATAGAGGGCATGCCCCTTTCCCATGCTGAGAAACAATGCCGAGGAGATTTTGCGTTAAAAAAACCAACAATTACACAAGATGGGTTATGCCTCTGGCATTTGCTCACTTTACTGTGCTCAGCTGTAGCACCATCTGTTAGTAAAGCTGAGAAATACAGAACCAAATGGGGGCTAAATTCAAATACCATACCAAAGTAAAAGTACCCTTGCATGCTTGCACTTAAAATTTGGATATGTTTCTTGGTGTCAGTGTTGAATAATTACTTAGGCAAGCCTTCTTCACCCATTATATTCCTCACATCTAACATCAAGATTTTCCGCGCTTTTACCACCTAGACAACTTCCTTTCAGGTCAGAGGTTTCAGATTCATAGTGGTGTCTTTCATAGAGTCAATGAATTCTTGAGGTTCCAGCCACAAGAATTCTTTAAGCCTAACACTCACAGCTTGGCACAACATTAACAGATACGCTTGGATATTATAGGTGATTATGATAAAGACAATCCTCCTTTTGTTAAGGCTTTGTTCACATGAAAATTTCGATAATTTATCAGCCATTTCAAATGCACTAACCTAATAAACCATTAATCATATGGACATAAGAAACCAATATTTTAGGATCCTCAGAAAAAAAAGGCATATTTACAAGTATTTTCATAAACTTGATAGCCAAGAATTGAGAAATTCATACTTACAGAATCTGATTTATCACTTTTCTTCGGATGATCCATAAAAATATCAGATGATGAAGATTCAGTAGCATCAGTTGCTTTGAAAAAGAAAAGATAAATAATTTTCAGTTTTTATTCCATACTAAACACATTAAAAGTTATTACTTTATGCATATATTGCCAAACGAGAAAGCATACAGAAGTTTCATATTAGATGGCTACGAAATTTACAACGTGAAATATTTACACATTTGAAGCAATTTCGGAAGCTCAAAGAAAGCATTAGTATTATGATTTTGATACAGAAAAAGCACAACATTTTAGCTTATAATATTAGAAAAAATATTATTATCTATGCTTTAACTTGGAGGAAATGCAAACCTAAATAATACTAATAAAAAGAGTGAATAAAAATCATGTAAGATCAAAAACATTCAAATTAGCTCCTGTCAATCCATTAAGGGAAAAAAAAACTGTACCTTTAATCCAACCCTTCTTGTTTTGATTATTTAGTTTTTAACACACAGAAGAAAATAATATGAAATTTAATATTCTGATCCCTCAGTTAGGTACAGAATGCTAATTTATACATAATATGAGAGCTTTTACACTGAAAACTGTTACTTAAAAAAGTTTTTTACTTATTCACCTCATTCTTAAACCTTTCCAACAATCCCCTTTAATTTATGTTATTAATAATTTCATAATACGCGAAGAATATAACAAAGCTATTGTTCTCAAAAGTTCTAGAAACTCTCCCCCCCCTAGAGTCAGCTTTTTGTAATTTCGTTTAGCAATGCATGTTTCCTAAAAGAAAAGAAAATATAAGAATATCTGAGCTGACAGTTTCACACCATTACAAGCAATGCATCTTTCCTAAAAGAAAAGAAAATATGAAAGTACTTGAGATGACAGTTTCAGACTAGCTTTTACAAGCAATGCATGCTTCCGAAAAGAGACAGTTCCACACCAGCTTTTACAAGCAATGCATGTTTTATAAAAGAGACAGTTTCACACCAGCTTTTACATCTATTTCCTATATGACTTAAAAAGCAAGTCACTGGCATAACATGAACCAACATTTTAATGCCATCAATTACAACTGTGTTTCACATGTATCCAAACCATTCATAATTACAAAATGTACACATATAAATGTATAACATGTAAAACACATTGTATAAATCCACATAAAAATTGTGAATAAGTTTTATTGTGGAATACATTCTACTACATTTAAAAGTATAAAAATAATTTAGCTCTTTCTTGTTAAATGTTATGACTTCAGCTCAGTCACTTTTTTCCCCGTCAAGAATAACTTTGTAATTTTTACACATGAAACATAACGAAAATGTGCACATTAAACAATTTAACTTTCTATTTATTTAAAAAATTGCCAAATTATGATTTTCCCTTCCAAGGTCATAAGTTTTTAACTCAAAATTTGAGTTTTATTTAGTTACTAATGTTTTTGTGAAAAGAAAATAAATCATGTATTAAATAGTCACAGGTTAAAATACGAAAACATGTAGTCTGAATATACCATAAAAATTTCAGTTAGCTGTGCTTCATAATAGCTGAAAGAAAGTAGATAAACAGTAGAAAGCCCCTTCTGGGGGAACTAGAAAAACTATATTCTTTTCATCTGGAAAGTGTAACACCTCTTCTCAGTGGCAAAAATAAACAGAGATGTAGTTTCAAATCTTATGTAAGGCAAGGATAATACTTGTTATCTGCTGGGGGAAAAAAAGCATGTAAAATTGTAAAATCAGTAGTAAAAAACACTGATGCTGAGGATAGGAAGAAAAAAAACCCTTAAGATATGTATAGCTAACAGCTCAATAACAACAAAAACTTTCATGAATAACAGACACACATTCTTAAAAATAGAATTCCAAGATTTTCCTCGTCTAACAAAATAAAAAGAATACACTGACAAGACATACTGTCAGTTTCCATAAGCTCAGTTTGAAAAAGGATCTCTAAAGAATGAGGCATATGTTTTATTAATGGAAAGAAAATAACCCGAGTTAATGAAGAATCTCCACAATTCGTTATATAAGGGTCGTGGAGGATTTATGAAGTGCAGATTCCTTACACCTGAATTTTTGAGGGCTCTTCTCATCATAACTTAAGCATGTTCCTTATTTCAAACACAGCTATCATTTACTATTTTTTAAAAAGTTAACTAATGATCTAGGGACTCTCACAGTTGCAATTTGCGAGACCCTTAAAATTCATCTTAGAACAAAAAATAAGATATCACAATGGGATTATCATTGCAGCCTTGATTAAAAAGCAGCATTTAAAATTGTTAGTAGAAAATACAGATTAATAATAGAAGGAAATATACTAACATCTACTTTATCAAGTAACTTAGCATGAAAAGGATGACACGCTTTCAAATGCATCCCATATAATAAAGTATCAAAATTGAGAATGTTACTATAATAACTGGGAAAGAACAAAATTCAAATTTAATACGGTTCAGAATGGCATGTTTATAAGAATTCATCTCACATAATATAATTCTTAAATTTCTTCCCTTACGACAATAAATAAATAAATGAAATAAAAAAACATTGGATAACACTAGTATAATAAATCCAAAAAAGTGTAATAACAGTTTTTCCTAAAACTGCAATTTAAGATAATGCATATAAATATTGATAAGACAGGACTGAAAGACTTTCCATGACTGGGAACTTTTTATGACAATAATAAAAGCTTTGAAAAAGAGAATTATTTGATTCGCAAAAGATTCATAGGAAAATGAAAAGATTATTTTCAGCATATACAAAAAAAAAAAAAAAAAAAAAAAAAAAAAAAAAAAAAACTCAAAGTTTTAAAACATTTTAATGTTTATTTCACTAGAGAATTTCAAATCTTATATGTATTCAGAATTTTATTTATCATAGACTGATTTTTACAACAAAGGGAAGGACCTATTTAAAATTTTCAAATTGTGTCATATTTCTTATTGGAAAACAGCAGCAACTAAACACTGCATAAAACTTCATCACAGTCAGTTTGATTTATTGCTGTACATTCAAAAAAGTTTCAAGAGCTGGAATTTAGAATGCATACCGATGCTAAAATAATATACAATTTTGAAAATTGTACTTTAACCTTCCAGCATGTGTGTATGTGCAAAATTTATGACAAATTCAGTTTTTAATGCACATTTTTCACATATCGAAGCTGAGACATCTGAAGGTCATTTCTATTTCTTCTTTCTACCCTTCCCCACATCATGGAATGTGCCAACAGAAACTCATTCGACTTTTTTTTAAGCTGGGCTTTTGTGCTATGTAGCAGCTTTTTCATAAAAGTTACGACACACGCATGATCGTGTTTTAAAATTCGGAAAATATTTTTTTCTCAAATATTTTGTGTTATTAATTGCCGTGTAACATTTTAATTTGAATACATTTGGCTCTGTACATTTTATATCGGTTTTCATGGCAAAAAAATATGTGCAACCACCTGATTTTGCTTGGATTCTTCAAGAATTATCTGATGAAGACAAGGAAACCTTTAGATGAGAGAACAATAGTGATTTCCATTCCTTATTTTCTTTTATTTCTAATTTTTAGAAATAAATAAAAATACTAAAGTTAGTTTAAAGTGCGTTTTTGTAACCAGTAAGAAGTAAATTTGCTTGCAGAAGTAAGCGATGCTAAACTTACTTTTTTCCCTACCAAGGTGTTTTCCTTTTTCTATCGTCTATACTTGTAAAGATTTTTTTTTTCAAATTTTTCCATACTTCAACTAATTCTAAATTTTCAATTAATTTTAATATTCATCAAAGGATGAATATTAAAATTAGCTTCGATTTTAAAATATAATTATTAAATAATAATTTAAAAATTTTCTATAATGAAATACATCATTTCATTTCCATCTCACTCACATAAGAACTTAAAAATAATTTACTTATATTTGAATGTGATATCATTTGTATTTTGCAATAATAAGATTAATATTTTGTTTCTTAACAAATTTATTATCAATATTCCCATTTCTGTCGTTTTTCATGCCAAAAACGGTAAAATAACAGATGTCATAAAAAATACGACGCACGTGTGCTTATGTAAAATGCCAAGTGCGTGTGCTGGAAGGTTAAACTGTGAAGCTATTTTTTTTAACCTAAACATTTAGCATTTAAGAACAAAATGTAAGTTTACAGTACATAAATTCAGTCATGAAAATTTAGACAAATCCAATAATAAAATAACTAATAGCTTAACACTTATTTCATTAAAATTTTTCATAAAATAAAATCAGGAAAGTTAAGAGTATGGCAGGTCCCAAAGAGAAAAGTCTATAACACTAGAAATGAATTTAGAATGATTGAGGTTTCAATCTAACTAGTTCCATCATTATACAACACACTGAAATTATAAAAAATCCTCTAAAAATAAAATGCATTATATTATTATTACACATGTGATAAAAACATACAAATATATAAAATATTTTTCTCTGCAATCAAGAAGTATTTAATAAAGGCAGTATCACAAGCAAAAAATCAAACAAAGCATAAAATACTTTCATAATGTGATGTAACTCATCTCGTATTTAATTTATATCAAATTTGCATGGTAAACACAGACATAGAAAATTTTAATAAAAATAAGAAACTACAATTGGGAAAATCAAGTGTTAAGAGTGTTTTAATAGTTAGTTACTTCCCTAAAATATCTGTAGACAAAAAAAATTCTCAGATTTTTCAGAAATGAAATTTATTAAGGTATACTATAAAATGAAAAGAAAAATGCACTTACAAGATTTTGCAAAATTTTCATCAGATTTAGATGATTCAAATGACAACTTTGGATTCTGTTTACCATAATTTTTCTTAACTCCAGACCTAAAATTCTATGCATGTATACAGGTATAAGAATGAAAATATTTCCTTAGAGAAAAGATAGAAACATAATACAGTTAATCTAACATGGACCTCTCTAATAACTAAGCATGTTTCAATAGATGAAACACATTCTTCTCCTTAAATACTTCACTTTCACAAATACGTACAGTTAAAAATACATAATAAAATATATGTATTGTCCTGTTCAAGGGTTTATACTCACCAACATTTTTACACCGGGTACGATCTCACAGTCTTTGGTGGCATTGGCAGATCTCAATAATTTATTTTTCTCCATATGAGGAGCACCAGAAAAGTAGTCATTTACAGTCTCTTTACAGCGGGAGTCCTCTATATGAACAATCATCTTTTCATTCACATTTGTTTCAGCTGTAATAAATACATAGAGAAAAAATATAAAAAGAAAAATAGCAAAAATGTAGCTCCAAAGTAGATTACATAATCAAATTTCACCAGACAAACCTTAGCTTTAAGTATATTTGTCCCTATAACAAAGATATCTATCAACATTACAAAAACACACATATTAACAATTTACATACAGCATTGCAGCTCCGTACAGCCTTGGAGGATAAAAACAATATATAATTAACACATCTGTTCAACCTTAAATTATGAGTATGAAGCTTAAAACTACTTTGAGGCTGTGTTGTAATTGGCAGAGCGACATGTCACAAGTCTCTCAGGCTATTTAAAGTTCAGAGAAGATAATTGTTACTATACATCTTCTATTCTTAAGCAAACAAAAAACCAAATATGTTACACTGCGATTATACCATATTGCACTGCAATGGTGATTGGACTGAACATGCAATGGTGATCGGCCTGCAAGATTGGCTTGAAGTTCAAACTCAATTCTCTTCTGAATCTTTTGGAGAAGCTTGAGCAAGCACTTCCTCATCAGACATTCTTGACTAACTACAAACTAGCTAATGTTTGCCTTAGCACCCATAATTCTCTAATATATCCTAGAGAATATTTTAACACAAAGAATTAACTTTGGCTACATAACACCCATCATACACATGACGTGAAAATTTTCAAGAAAGCTGGAATGTGATATTAACATTAACTGCAAACAAGGGTTCAGAAATATAAATTAGCAGTGATTCAATAGAAAATAACCAAAACTCAATTCATAACATTTCAAATTAAATAACTTCAGATGCTTTGTTATGGTAAAATATTTCTAACATTTTATTGAAAATATTAATATAAATTCAAATAAAATACTAACAAAATATATTTATTTACAGATGAATCTTATCCTTTGCTCTCTATTATTAATATACACATTTGCGAATATTTCACAGTAGCTTCATAAACGGAAAAGTGAAATGATATTTTGTTTTTTAAACAAAATTATCTAGAAATAAGGGAAAAGAATATATTTTAATTACTTAAAAAAGGCAGTTTAACTAATGAAGAAACACAAACAACAGTTATGGAACACAAAGCTTGAAATTAAGGAACAATGCATTATAAAGCCCCTTTTCTCACATCTCAAAAATCCCACTTTTATTGCTTGAGAGCATAAAGCATATGAAAGCATTTCTTCCGATTGTCATTAGGAATCTTTCTGAAGTACTTCCCAGCAGAAAAAGAATGCTTCTAGTGTTTCTGGCATGGAACGTTTATAATAAAAGTACAAGAAAAACAGTGCTTAACGAAAAAAATTATATTTTTTAATAATTTTTGGACTGAAAGGAAATACAGTGTACGTTTGTTAATTCGAACTCAAAGGTTTTCAGAAAAGTGTTAGAATTATCCGATGGTAAGATAAAAATATAACTTTACAAGTGTATCACTGAAGAAGAAAAATCTTCTAATATGTATAACTCCAGAAAATATATTATACTATGCTATCTTTAAGATTCCTGAAATTAACCATATTAAAAAGCAACAAAGACGTACCTTAATCATAAAATTAAGCAGAAGATATGCAGTAGATGGTAAACTTTAATTAAAAATATGAACTATACTTTTGGGGAAAACTGTAAAATGGATGTTTGGTTTTGTTTATTATGCCTACATCTTTCAGCCAGCTTCTCGATTTGATGTAAACATTTCAATTCATTTTCAGAGGAAGGTTCAACTGAATAAATGCTTCCAGAGTTTTTAAGAGTCCAGTATGGCTTACACATTAGAACGCTTAACAGTTTCAGCCTTCTCTTCTGAATCCCACAAGGTTTCTTCTTTTTTATCTTCTCAGACAGTCTTTTTTATGTTTTTTTAGCTCAGTTTTCCAAGTCTTCATCTACCCTTACATAATCAGAAAAAGTAAATTTTTAAATTTTTTAAATTAAGGAAAACCTGTGTCAATATCGTCACATTCTTCAATATGATTGTTCTCTTTGGCATGCATGAACTTAGCAAAACAAAAGCAATTAGCATCCCATGTGGTGTATAGATAATTTATAGCTCTCAGCAGAGTAATGCGATAGTTTTCACCACAATCTAAAGAAAAAATTATTTGTAATAGTCTCTCACAATAATTTCTTTTAAGATTTTGGATAATTCCTTGATCCATTGGCTGTAGCTTCACAGTTATATTCAATGGCGAATATTCAACCTGTATGGAACTCAGTTGTGGAAAGTTATTGTGGCAGGTTGCATTATCCACAAATAAGATAATTTTATGCTTTCCCCTAGAAAACTGGTTATTTATTCTTTTTATCAATGCTAAAATTTTATCTTAAAGATATAACATAGATATAACAGAAGATATTATATAACATAATTTACTTGGCATAGCAATTTTACAATAAAACTTTTTTTAAGGAAAGAAATATAAAAATACCATTTGTTTCAAACTTTGCTTCCTTTTGTTGTCATTTTTCCCTTCTGTCATACATAAAAGTGTACTCATGTTACACGTATTTTTATCAATTTCAGGATTAAAATGGCTAAAAAATGCATATACAAAACATAATAACTTCCATAACATAAAAATGAGAGCTAAAAAGTTAAACAAACAAAATCAAGATTAAAAATTTTAATTTTAAATGGCTACTAAGCTTATATATGGCATAAATATAACACTTACAGACTTCATCATTAACATACAAATATAAAGGAATGCTGTCTTCCCATGAACTTATTGCCATCATATGTTCATAAGGATGATAATCGATGCAAGAAAAACAGCCAGCATTCACCGGAACAAAAGAACTTGCATCTAAAATACAGAGCAAATTTGTACACACTTGATATCGATTAACTGAGAAAATAATGATTATTCAATTTAAAAGCATATACTGTAGCCCAATTGTATGACTGTTTTGAAAGCGTGAGCTACTTCTTTCTATGAGTGGCATCACAATTAACATTGCATGAGAAAAAACTAAAATAATATAATGTAATAGCTAGATAGCTCATGATCAAATCAAAAGCATGCTTTGATCAACTGGTAACTTGTATTACACTGGTTGGATGGCCCTTTACTATAAGCTTAAGTATATAAGACTATTTTACACATTTTTTTTTATAATCAGATTCACATCCTGAGATACTTACTTTGCAACTGTGCCAAACGGTCTCCAAATTGCATATATAGCTTGCAATTTTAACACTGTAAGTTAGAAACACAGGTGAATCATCCAAGGCATTTTTTGTTGCAAGTCAGACATAGCTTGTTTTTTTTAAAAGAACAAAATAAAGTGTGACTAATGGCCTTCAAACTGTATATTTTACCTTGCATTAATAACACCAACAGTTAGAAAAACACAGTTGAATAATCCAAACATTGTTGCAAGTCATCCATAGCTTGTTAAGGAAAACAAAAAATTAAGTATAAAAGAAATTTCAATGAAAATGTAAAGTTTTGATTCATAGCTATTCCATTATGAATGAAAAAAATCCAAAAATATTTAAAGCAGTAATAAAAATAATAAAACACTCAAATATGAGATTCATTCTTTTTACTAACTTACATATAATATCCAGTAATGTCAAATTCTGAGAATAATAGCATAATATGTAACATAGGATAACACATAAAAGAATAATAATCTCAAAGTGTGTTTTCACATACCCCGAAATTTAAGACTGAAAAATTGTTTGTTCAAGCAGTATCAGTTTGTCCGCCCCTTCACCATGATTGGTTTACTTACATCCAACATTAAAATACAGATCTGCAAGAATGTTTCTTGAATAGTCGGAATAAAGAAATATTCTATAAATTTATCAACTGTTTGCTACTGAGGTGAGTTAGAAAAATTAAAAACTTATTGGAATCATTTTCCATCTTTTGATATCACTGCATGCCTGAAAAACCAACTTTGCATGAATATCCTTTCTAAAATTTAGAAGAACTGGCTGATCAAAAAATTAGTTAATTTAAAAGTAACTAATTTTTCTGAGAAGGAAGACAAAAAAGGTAATGTATTTTCATTTTCTGTTTTCACGGATGATACCTACATATTTTATACAATTTATTAGAAAAGATACAAATCTTAAATTCACACTTTACAAACTCTCTTCTAAAGCAAAATACTGAATTGCACACTAGGGCAGAGTTAAAAAAAAAGTTGTATATTTGAAACGCACTGTTGCTCAAAAGTTGTGCATTGATTAATATACTACCTGCAAAATTTTTCTACTTCATCTTCATTCCTTGCAAGAACCACAAAATTTTGCAATTTTGTAATGGTATGTTAAAAACCAAAAAATATTGAAAAACTATCAAGTGAAAACAAATTGTCCCTTAAAAGTTATGCATTGACAAATATCAGTCGCAATTTTTTTTCAAAATGTTTCTACTTCATTTCCATTCCCACAAGAGCCTTAAAATTTGCAATTTTTCATTAAATTTCCATATAACAAAAAATTTCAGTATGCTATTTTTCATAGTAACAGTGTAGACATTTTTAAATTAACAAAACTGTAAAATACTTTCTCTGTGCTAAAAGAAATTATTACCCACTTAAAAAATAAATCATATTTTAATTTTCACACCAAAAAATATGTATGACCTAAATTTTATTATAAAATGGAAGCCAGTTTGTAGAGACCAAGTTTGCAATCTACCAATAGATTGCATCAGCATGTGTTTAGATTGCATCATCTGGTTTCTCATTATGTGAGGAGACAGCATCACCTGTCATGCTGCTTACCAGCTCAGTTCACTGTCTGCCTTCCTGTGCAATGTATGTCAGTTGAATCAGCGAAATAAGTTTTCAACTAGAGACAAAGGGGAATGCCCCATTACTGGTAGTCCACAAGACCGTAGTTATAATATAAGCCAATGTGACATGTGTTAAAGTGTTACAATTGGATTTGGCTACAGAAGAATAACTCAAGACAATAAAGGAAGTATCAAGGAAGCTGTGTTGACTTCACTGAATGATTAAAAAACTTTGATGTATCCCAACTTGCAGCAGTTGTATAGAACCACAGTGAATACAGGAAATTCAAGAGGTGTCACTTGTTTACTGGAGAAAGAATTTGGAAAATCTTTTGCAGTGACTGATATATCTGCTTCACTTTAATGAGCTATCATTAAGCCACACAATGTATCATTTGGACAGAATGAAAATGGGTCCTCATGCACTTTACAGATCTATAGCCAAGAGTTTGACAAACTGTCAGCCACTTCTCAGTTATTGAGTGTCAACAAAATGAGGGAAATTCGCCAGCCATAAGAGAGAATCATGCTGTTAATCTCAATACAGAATAAAAATATCTGTAGGATGTAAGCCATTTCTCAGGTAAATTCTTAATGAACCTGGGGGTGATCCTTCCTAGGAAACTTTTTAATGCAAGATGGCTCATTATGGACAATAGAGTCCTTCGAGTTTGCATTAGCAGCACTAATCCATCTGCCACCTTTACATCAAATGCAGTCCATCCATTAAGGAAGCTTCCATTAAACTATGGCATACCTTTTCGTTCTCTCGATACTGCAGTGAAAATCTAAAGGTCATATTGAATGGTTACATTCAGCCAAATGCTTGTGCTACACATTTGCAAAAAGTGCTGGTGGCTATGCTTGCAGATGAACAGAAACACATTCAAAATTTAGCTGTGCCAAGTGTTATTTCAGTGAGGTCATGGTCAAAGAAGCCATTTCTGCCAGTATGCAAGTTCAAGATCAATCTGTCATCGTTGATGTGCAACACTACATTGTCCTCACTAACTTTCAGCATTGTGAAGTTACAGAGCCACCTTTTACATCCCATGTATCAGGCAGAAATTTGAAGAAGTTTATCAAGGGAGGTTCCCCACTCTTTTTTATGTACTTTCTATACCCAGGTGGTTGAGAGATGTGTTAAAGTGGTTACAGAGATTTCTAGACAATTATGCAGGGCTAAAGCTTGAGAAGAATTAATCACAGCAAAAATTTGGACAGGTTGATCACACTCACTTTAGAAACTAAGTCTAAATTTGAAGCTACGAAGAACAGACTATGGGCACAGTGCTCAAAAGTAGTGTGATAGGGATGGGCACAGATGGAACTCTTATATGACTACCTCCTTGTGGAGAGTTCTGAGTGGTTCATGGAACCAGCAAATAGTTAATTCTACAGTACTGTTACAAAATTTCAAAGCTCTTTTGCAAAATAAAGTTGAAGTAGAAAATTTTGAAAAAATTCACGAGTGATATTATAGTCAAACTTTTGGGAGTAGTTTGTTTTCATCCGAAGGGAAAAAAAAAAAAAAAAAAAAAAAAAAAAATCAAGGTTTTAACTGTACTATTACAAAATTTCAAGATTCTTACAGGAAATGAAGTGAAGTAGAAAATTCTCAAAAACTTATAACTGATATGTTAGTCAATATGCAACTTGTGAGGGGTAGTGTGTTTCAATTATATAACTTTTATTCATTTTTTTCTGCTTTTCCTAATATTTTGTTTTTTAAAGAGTTGGCCCTCTTAAGTCTTCAAAGTTACCCCTTGTGATATCTACTTTCTGGCATGTGTGAAAGATTGGACATTTGCACCACCTAAGCTCAACTTAAAAAATGCATTGTTGCCATTTTAAAAACAGCTATCATCGATACGCTGGAAATGTTTGGCAGGTATTTTCACACTGCCTTTACAACCTTTCCATGTAGCTAGAGGAAGTCATACTGAATTTTGGTAAATAAAGCTTATATATACAGAACAAAGTCCGTAAACTGGACTCATCAGGACTTCGGCGATTCCGGATTATAGATCATCAAGATGGCATGCAGAAATTATACAATTAAAAATATGAAACCGTAATTTATGAAATAAAGAGCAATTATGGTCTAAAGGGTATCAAAATTTACAAAAAAAAAAAAAAGCTTAATATTTATTTGTTTACTTTATTAAATATTTCTTTCAATGTAAGTTGTTTAAGTTGCTTCGTTTTTTGTGCTAAACACGCATGCGTAAACATTAAATGCGCATGCGTAAAGCATACAAAAAAAAGTTTGTGGCTTTGAGTTCCGGATTATAGATCATTCCGGATAATGGACATCTGGATTACAGACTTTGTACTGTATTTTCCTTTTACATTCATCCCATTTACATTATTCCTTTTTACATACATATTAATTTCTTTTAAGTTTAAGAACTTGAAATCATACGATTCTTTTTTAACTACCTTATGCATAATATATGTATGTGGATGTGGTATTGGCAATTTAAATTTGCTACATCCGGACATAACAACATACAAGAAAACATCACAGATTTATCATGAAAATATTTATACAGACTTACAAATATTAAGCTTAACGTTACTTATTAATGAAGCTGAGTATACTATTTCAAATAGGATAGTACCTGTTTTTTGACAGCTGTCCTAATATTTTGACAAAAATATGCCTTCTCCCATTTTTACTAAAAGCTATAAATATGCTTTTATAGGCAAGCATGAATTATTATTCACAAGGAGTGACTTACAAAATTGGATTCCCAGGCAAAACTTTGCATGAAAGTTCTGATCTTTAATAATTTTTCAATGTAGCCGATATCACTAATGCCAATTACATATTAATTCAATACATTTTCATTTAAAGATTTTTAAATAGAAAAAAAAAACTTTTGTATGTTTGGTTTTTCATGATTTCAGTTTATTATGCACTATATAAAACATGAGCTCCTACAGTTTAAACAGCTCATACAGTTTTAAAGCTATTTTTAAAGTTAGGTTAGATTAATTCAAGGTTTAGACCTCTGTTGCAGTCCACCGGAGTAATTCAATTTTAGAGTGAAACTGCAATTTAAGTCCCAGACCTAAATAAGAAGAATACAGGTAATTTAGTCTATTATTTAAACATTTCTTCTGAATTTAATGTAATTTATTAAATTTGTATTTATATCGTTATATTTTATTTGTTTACCCTTTCTGTCGGCCTTCCATAAGGTTTTGGTGTTTCTAATTTGAGAAATTAAATCCTGGTATAATTGATTAAAACAAAGAACACAACTCAGTTTAGAGTTGGAAAGGAAGAGACAAAACTGAACGAAGATAGAAAAGTTTACGAATGATTTTTTTTTTATCTGTTACTAATTTTATAAAACCTAGGGTTGAAAATATAATTTTACATGTTTTAAATACTATATAAGTATTTGGAGGTCTATCTGCCCTTGCATAAACCAGCCTCTGATTGTTAATAACATGCAATTGTGTATCAGCATCATGAATGCCAAAATAGCTATTTGAGTTGACTGTTCGATTAGTATTGAAATTTACAGTATTCAAAGAATTATAAAAACTGTAAAGCAGTTGAATATCTGTAAAATAAAGAGGGTACTTGTGTATCTGGAAACGGAAATTCCCTAAAAATATATTCTGTAATTTCCAAGTCCTCCCTTCTGTATATTACACATTAATTTTTCCACAAATTCAAGAAGTATAGCACATGCTGAAGGAACTTTTTTGTTATAAACAATATGTGTTAAAGGAAGAAATCTATATTAAGCATTCAGATGATGAAAACTATGCTAAATTTTGATACAAAATTGTGTCATGTAGAATGAAAAGATTACGATGAAGCATAAAAAACACCAAAGTGATATAACTTCATTAGAGAAATAAGGTAAGATAACTTAAGTAAGATAACTAAAGTAAGATAACTTAGAGAAATATTCACAATATAACCGCAGTGAAATACAGTTCACTAGCAACTGTGTCTAAACTTCCGTACGAGTTTTTATTACTGAAAACTCGATTACTGAAGTTTAAATTTCAACATATTTATGTCATGACACATTTTATATCATCTTTTCTTTGCCATGATTAACCTTCATACAATTTGTGTTCTACCAGTGCCCAGTTTTTATCTCATAGAATTAATATCCTAAATTTAATACATATTTTTTCCTGTCATTTTAAAAATCCGATATACATTAATGCAATATTAGAAAACTAAATATACATATAAAACCATTATACCAAACATTTATACCAAACTGCAACATAAACTACAATATTTTAACTGATGAAAATATCGTCTGAAACTTACGGGTATTCAAATTCCAGACAACAACCCTTCCATCACCATTGCAAGCAAATAACAAAGATCCACAAGGTGAGCAACATCCACATAGTGGAGCTTGATGTTTAATAGCAGATTCATAACGAAAGATAATACTTCCACTAAAAATACATATTTTTACAATGAGTTACATGAATGTTAGAAAACTTCAATACAGAAAAATATATCTGACCATCTCTACAGGCAAAAACATTAAAATCAAGAAGCAAAATGTTCATGTATTGAATCTTCTCTTAATTTTATTTTGAAATTTAAATATTCAAACAGACTACAAATAACACGTAATTCTGACATTCAATATTCATTTAAAGCACACACATCATGCCAGAAAATTGATGACAATATAAATTAAAACACTAGTTTATTGCTTACTTTGACAAATCCACTTGCCTCACAATGTAATCACTGCAAAGAAGGTAAAGTATAGCTTTTGCAACCCCAGGAACTATTTTGTTGATAGAAATTCCCTGAAAAAATATACAATTCCCTTTATAAAGTTTAATTGAAATTAAATCTTTTATACCTTTTTAAAATAAATTAGTTTTGAAATCATAATTTGATAAACTATATTATAAATTAAAATTTGATGCTCAGGAGTAGTTATATGGCCATGATATGACATGTGTATTACATAAAAGCAACATAACATATGCTGAATGAATAAAAATATACACTCAAAAAATTATCACAAATTTAAATTAAGTTACATTTTATATATATAAAAAAGGTATGCATCAAGTGTTAGCAAACGCTTTTCAGGAAACGGCCACATTGTAAAACTTTTAGACTTAGTGGGCCAAGTAGCAAACATTAAGATATAAATGGGTGATTTTCTCACATAGCCCTCCCACCCTCAAAAAAGAGTTAAATTTTTTTTTTACTATTAAGTGATACTTTTACATAATTTTTATACATATTTTATTAACACTTACAAAAAAAATAACATTTACATATTAAAAAGGATACTATTAAATAGATTCAAATTTCAGATGCGAAGAATATAATTTTTTTCGAGGTAATATTTCTTCATACTGAAGTTCAAAATTAGTACTTTCTACCACTGAAACCATTTGAAATAGATTGATCTTTTTTTAATTGGCTCTTGACGTGGCTCCCTCAACTCTTCTAACAGTTGTTCTTGCCGAAAGACTAAGACTGACAGATCGAAACATACCTATATTTTCTAGGCATATTTTTTCAGCTGTCACAAGCAAGCATCATTTAATTAATTTCACCATCGGTAAATAGTTTTCCTTTCATTGCTAATAAATGAGCTATTTGTAAGCTGGCTTCAAGTACTGCTTCACTACCATTATTTTTAATTTTACATATAAATTGCGGTGCAATGGCGCATTCTGAATGAAAATTCCCAGTTTTAATGATTGGTCATTTTCTGTGAGGTTTGAATACTTGTTGCATACTTAGTTTGGTAACTCAATTGGCCATTACAGAAATAGCACATAATTTGATTTATTTCCCATGTAATAAACAATATCATACTGGGGCCAGATTAAAAACAGGCAGTGGGCCGGATTTGGCCAGTAGGCCATAGTTTGCTGACCCCTGGTATACATCATTAGTGACATGCCAAATTTTAACTAAAAACTTAAACTTACATTTTTAGAAATTTCAGACAAAGTTTAGAATATCAATTATTTCACAAATGCAACATGTTCCTTATGATACTTTCCTAAAAAAAATTATTTGTGAATAAATAAACTGTATTGCACTTTTCTCCACTATTTCATATTATGATGGAATTATTGCATTTCAAAGTTATTTCTCATGAATTAATTTTGCTCCCTTCATGATTTTTTATATTTTCAAAGAGAAAATTTCACACTTTAAATAAAAAAATACACGAGAAGATACTTTATGCAAAATTTGGCGTAAATGGTTTTCTTAATTTTGCTTTTAAAATATTCCAGGGTAATCATTTTCATTACTGGAAGAAATATGAAAAACAGATTTACTACATTGTGTCAACACCCAGTATGTCCTTATTCTTTTGAAAACGTGAAAGATTACTCTTTCTAAAATAAATTGGAAAATATATTATGTGCAAATAGAATATTCGTTGAAAATGAAATAGATTTCAACCTTTGGATATAAGGATGGTTTTGAATGAAATTTCTACCTATGAAAAGAAATTGGCGTATTCATGAACACTTAAAACTGTTCTAAAAATTCTTTTGATGATTGCATGTATAGGTCACGTATTTTGTTTCTCTGCTAACATAAACAAAAGCCAATTTTACAAAGAAAAATTCCCATTAAAGATATACCTCCTTTGCCTGATAGTCCAATGTAATATTTGTTAAAGTTAAATGATGAAACGCAACCAATGTATCTCAGATTTTGATTTTTATATTATAATAACAAAATTATCGAAAAAAGCAGATTTAAATCTCTGTTATTGTTATGTAAAACTTTATTATTGCTGTAAGTTCATCTCAAAATCTAATTGTATTGAATTTCATTCTAATCATCTAATGGCAATAAATATTATTATTATTATTTCATTAAATTAGTCATTACCATTATTTTGTTAATGAAAATATGTTATTAAAAATCACATTGCAGCCTGCAGACTTACAAAGCTAGTCCGTATTTACTATATTTTGTTAAATTTTGTTCTCGTTTTCTAATTTCTAATATGAAAATACACGAATATAAATGAAGAGTGAAAACAAAGTTAAAAAATTCACAAATTATTTACGAGATTGATCAGAAATAGTGAGTGAAATATAAACATTGCACACATTTTGTTCTAAATAAATTGCACACTGGATATGCATCCAGTACTGCATATTTATTTATGCACTATTTATTTTAGAACTTCATTTAAATGAAAGCAAAATAATCATCGAAAAAATTGCAAATCTAGCAACCCCTCTACTATGGGATGTAAGCGTCCGACAAACATGTAAATTTTACTTCATCCATGGAGGGGGACTAACGACTTTTCTCATTGGAAATTGTCAAAGAGGGGGCAAAACTGTTTCGGATCGCGCCGGTCTGAAGGCTATATTATGAGAATTTCGGCCCGGTTTTAGAAGGTTAAAGCACCAGAGGTGTTAGTTGTTTTGTATTATTTTAAGTCTCAGCAGATGCATAGAAAATGTTTTACTTGAATTTTTACATTTTTATATTTTATCTTGTGACCACAGTGGGTATTAATGAAAGCCACTAACTCGCTTTGATATGTAGAGATAATTTTAAAGGGTAAGCAGTTAGTTATAAATAATTAAATTAGGTAGTTTGGTAACCTTAGTCATTGCGAATTTACATGACCACTATTAAATTTTATTTTTTAACAATATTTGTTAAAAAAGTCCTATTAACCTTCCAGCGGGCTCGCGTATGTGTGACATACACTAGATTTTAATTTTGAATTTTTTCGTAGACCAGAAGGCGCTATTGACCGCGTGTTCTTGGCTATTCTCTCCTCTTCGTTCGCCCTTCTTTCAGTCGTCTGCTGGATTTCGAGGGGTTAATGCGAGTCTGCAGATTTACTATTTGTATTCCAGAAATACGCGCGACCATTGAAGTAAGTTTTTGCTATATCTAATTTCCTTTTTTATTATAGAAAATCTTTATTCTTTTACATCTAAATCTTATGATTTTGTATAATTTGTGTGCATAATTACTTTTAATGATAAAATAGAAGCACTGTATGCGTCACATACGCGCGACCATGTATGATATTTTTGTTCTTTTTTTTCAGTTATGGCGAATAAAAGTAAAATGCTCAAGATGAATGATCTGAAGGATCTTGAGATTATAAGAAATATGCTTTTATGTGACAGTGATGACGATGAGGACACATTTTAGATGAAAGCATTACAGATGAAGAAGAGCGAATTTCAGAAAAAGGTGATTCAGAATCGGAAATTAGTGCAGAGGGCAATTCTGAAGAGGGAAATAATGATGATAATTCTTCCGAAATGTATATAGCTCATCAAATGAAAAAAACAGAAAAGTCATTGATTCTTGGACATGGCATAAAAAGAAAACTAAACGAGCACCTCGTAACATATGTGTTCATGTTTCTGGAGTCATCGGTGAAGCTAAATAGCTAACAGATATTTTGGATATATGGAAATGCCTCTTTACTGATAGTTTGATAGAAATCATCGCTGAAGATACGAATAAGTATATTTCTTCTGTGAAGTCTAATTATTCTCGTATAAGGGACAGCAGAGAAATGAATGGGCAGAAATAAGCTCTTTTGGCCTTACTTTACTTAGCTGGTATTTATCATGGTCACAGAGTTCTGGAATCTTGAGGAACTGTGGAGAATGGAGGAATTTAAAGTAGTAATGAACTTGAAGAGATTTTTGTTTTTACTAAGAGCTTTACGGTTTGATGACATAAACACAAGAGCAGAACGAAGAGAAGTCGATCGCTTGGCTCCAATAAGAAACATTTTTGAAAAGTTTGTCTCTAATTGCCAGAAGTGCTATTCACTTGGAGAGAATGTCACAACCGATGAGAAATTAGAAAGATTTTGAGGAAGATGTGGTTTCATTAAATACATTCCCCCCAAAAAAACCGAACAAATATGGCATAAAAATTTATGCCATGGTAGACGCTCGTATGTTTTACACATACAATATGGCATTTATGCTGGAGCGCAGCCAGATTGTCTCTTTACGTAAGCAATAAACCACAAGATGTTGTAAAAAGGTTGACAGAACCCATTGATAACACTGGAAGAAATGTAACCACAGACAAATGGTTTTCAAGTTTTGAGTTAGTACGAGAAATAGATGAAAAAAATTGTCATTTGTAGGTACTTTGAAAAACAATAAACCTCAAATTCCGGATCAGTTCAAGCTGACGAAAACTTGGGAACCCAATATGAGTCTTTCTGGATTTAGAAAAAATATGACACTTCTCTCCTATGTACCCAAACGTTATAAAAACGTCATATTGATTTCAAATCTTCATGATGACGTAGCAATAGATGAAAATACCCAAGACCAAAAAAATGCCTGAGATTATCACATTTTACAATCGTACCAAAGGAGGTGTGGATACAGTGGATAAACTCTGTGCTTCCTACAATGTTGCCAGGAACACCAGGTGTTGCCCTCTTGTAGTTTTCTTCTCTATGCTGAATATAGCAGCAATCAATAGCTACATAATTCATTCAATGAATAATAGTGAAAAATTACTTAGAAGATAATATCTGCGAAAGCTGGCAAATGCTCTTGTGAAGGAAAACGTTGAAAGAAGAATCCCTAACTCTCTTCAAAGTGAGCTGAAATTTAAATTGTTGAAACGAAAAGCAGAATTAGCTATCGTTGAAGAAATGACTTCAGGAAAAAAAAAGATGCAAACCCTGCCAAAATGACAAGCATACTAGAATTACGAGGTTCAGCTGTGAGATTTGCTTAAAATTCATTTGTCTGTAACACTGTAATTTCACTGTAAACATATTTGTTCAGACTGCACCGATGCAATGAAGTGACTATGAAATTGATTTGTTATGTAATATTTAATGTGTTTTTTCACTTACTGATTAAAAATATAAAAGTTCAGTTGAAATATTGGCAGTTTAATTTTGTTTTACTTTCAAGTTAGTTTGATAAGTCTTTAGTCCATTTTATATTGTTTTTTTTGCTTTATACTTATTTTATTTTCCTTAATTTAAAGTTAATATTGTTTAACTCAATTGTACTTATTAACATTTAACTATTTACAAACTAATTTTAATATTTTTGCTCTGGAAAATTTATTTTTTATAATAGCGTATCTAAGAAATACGCGCGACCTTTCTTGTTGGTGCAGAAGGCGCGCCCGCTGGAAGGTTAAAATCAAAATCTAATAAAATTTCACAGTTTAAAATACATGTAATTTATGACACAGATTCTTAAACGATATTAAGATAATTACACACTAGGCAGCAGAATTTAGGATCCATGGAGAATGCATCAGATGGGAAAATGCCTAGTGCCAGCTATGTGTATGATGCATTAAGAAATATTAGATGAATCTTTTAAATTGTAAGTTTTCAATTTCTTTATTAATAAAAAAAATTCCTTTTTATAATACCTGCCCATGTGATAAGATCAGAAGCATTTTTGATATTTTCCATGCTTCCATCCAGTGAAAAGTAGAGAAAATAAAGAGAAGATAAAAATGTTAAGATTCCAGTATCAGAAGTAAAACATTCAAATATTATGTTTTCATTGTTCTTCCAAATGTTCTCCAAAAATTAAAAAATTCATCTCAAACTTTCTGTAAAATACATCCATTACGTGTTGATACCATGGACATTTTTCATTTTGTCACATATTTCTCGAATCTTTTAGAATCGTGGATCTATAAATCTTGCCTTCAAATCCTTCTAAACTTTTCACAAGCTGCAATGTCTAAAATCCTAAAGAAAAATTATCCCTACCATTTCTGTAACAGGAAAAAGCCAGAAATATTTTGGAAAAAAATAAGAGGGGAAAAAGTATAAAATTAATTTTATAGAGAAAACTAATGCACATTCTGAGAATTTTGAATATTCTGAGACAATTACATGGGAAAAACTCTTACTATGAAAAAATAAAAAACAAGACATATTTAATTAATTACATAGCTAATTTTGCTTTTGCTAAGAGCTGTTTTGTAAATTGTGCTTTAAAGCATTATACTTTGTTTATTTTTCAGATTAAAAATATTGTATAATAAGTTGCCAAAATGAAACTTTATAATATGACAGAGAAAAATAACAATGTTTTATTTTAATGTTATTTTTAATATAATTTCAATATATTACCATTATTTTAATAAAATTTATCAATGTTTACGATGTTTTAAAAAAAATCGTCGAAAATTTCTCAGATCTCGGAATTAAAAAGCTTCTATAGAAACTAATCTTAAAATCGCCAAAATGTTCAAAAGTCGCCAAATTTAGAACCCTTTAATAAAAGAATTCACATCCCCAAAAGTGAAAATTTGTTTAAGAGTTCTTTACTAGAAAAAATGAATTTTGAAATGCTTATGTTTCACTTCTTGCTTAGAAACTTGATTATCCCATCATTTATATTAGAAATAGAAACAAATTATAACTCATGAACCCATTCAAAAGATAACCATATATATGGCAGTGAATCCCCAAAAATATTCCTCAAAATGCTAATTCAAACTCAAAATGACAGTCGTAAAAACAGACAGAAATTTCAGATGATTAAAATTAAGGACCTTCTGCTGATTTTGGCCAAAATTAAGGACTTTTAAGAACCAAAAATCTAAGGACTTTTAAGGACTCTTAAGGACCGTATGAACCCGTCTTGTACTATCCTGCGGCCAGTTGCATTACCTTCTTGGCACGACATCCTGGGGCCATTTTCCAACAAGAAAATGCCAGACCACATACCGCTCGCATACCTCTGGACTGTCTGCGCGGTATGCCACCAGTCGAGCATGTCTGGAAGGAAGAGTATGAACCGCGCAGACAGTCCAGAGGTATGCGAGCGGTATGTGGTCTGGCATTCACCAATCGAGCATGTCTGGGATATAGTAGGCCTCCAGATCCCGGCACCACACAAATATTGCAGATTTGGAGTGACAACTGATGAATGCCTGGAAGAATGTGTCGCACAATGACATTAGGAACCTCTATCACTCCTTGTCTCAACGAATTCAAGCAAGCAATGCCGCCAAGGGCGGTTCTACCAACTGCTAATTTAAACACTCAATGGGCTATTGTGAGCCGTGAACAAGTACTATGAGCTTGATTTTTAATCATTTTATTATCTGTGTATGAGCTATACACATATTCAATTTCATCAAAAACAACCACTTCCTTCGTGGTGCTTCGATTTTTTTTCGCAAAAGAATGTATTTACAGCATATTCACTTGAAAATGCTACTCAAAAGAGTAATTATTATAATTTTAATTAAAAAAATCTGATGTGTACACCACATGACTTCCTTTCCGGAATATTAAATTATACGCACTTTTTCTTGCATTTCATTGAAACTTATTGGATTGAATTAAATCTATTTCATTGATAGCACATAAACCACAATAGAATAAATGCACTCTTTAAAACTCACTATATTTGTTTACCATAGCGACACTCTGGTGCTAGGTTCACTTAACAGCATTATATTTCGTCCATATTATAACTCAGAATGCATATAAATTTACATCATTTGAAGAATTATCTAATCGTTGCCACATGTTCTATTCAAATACTATAATAAATCTAAAATGACGTACAAAAGAAATTAAGCCAACAAAACAAAAAAGAAAGAGTTTTTCACAGACGATTCAGTATTCTCATTCAATTAATTCAGTTCTCACTTCTCGACAAGGCAAGAATATATAACAACTAAAAATATCTATATTAAAAATTACGAAATAAATCTGAAACACATATTTCCTCGAATAAATTCCAGAATGGATTAAACGTGATTTAATTCGCAATAATAAAAGGTATTATCTTTGTTGTTTTAAAGCTTAGTTTCTGTAGATTGGCAACAAATCCGCTATTTTGCCAAGTTTGAAGTGTAAACAAAGTGTCCGCAATCGCAAAATTCATTAAGCTTAGGTGCACTTAAGCAACTTTTAAATTGTTGATAACTCCACAAATATTGCATGCAGATGTACTAAAGGCATAAAAACCTTAACCGGAAGATAAGAACAACATATTTCAATCATTTTTAAAGCAAAAAATGCAGAATTCACAAACGTATAAGAATAAAGAAACTGAGCTCACTGAGCCGAGTAACAGAGTAGATATATATATATATATACACATATATTTATATACTTTTGGTGCAGCCTATTGCAACCAAAATACGAGGTGCACATCTACATACAAAATTTCATTGTTCTGAAGTCACTCATTTTTGAGTTATATGAGATGCATATGCACAGATGCCACAAAACACTCTCTTCAGAATTCATTTTAAACCAGTTTTATAATCTTTTTGGGTGAAAAGAGTCCTTTATTCTGTCCTTACTTGCAGATGTCGTGCAAAAACATCATTAAATTGCATTGGATAGCAGTCAAAATCGATATTTTCATTGAAATATGATACTTCCTTTTTACTTCATACAAGGAAGTAAAAATTAGGCACAACTCTCAATTTTTTGCTTTATTTTTTAACGTTTTTCTTTTTAAGCTGAATGTTTGATTTAAAAATAGATGACGCAGCAAATCTCTTCTTCTGATTGAAATCAGGAAAAATTGTGGTTGGCTAAAACTGCCAGATTTGGGTAGTGGTGGAAAAATAAAGGTAAGGTTCAATAGAAAAAGACTGAAAACTCCACTTAACTGGCAGCCAGAGGTTAGAGGGAGGAAAAGCAATGCTCGCTCAGCATATTTTTAAATGAGTGCAATTTTAGAATTCTCAGTCCTTTTGAAATCAGAATATAATCTCTAAGACCAGCAATTCACAGACTGAAATAATCTCTCTCTGGTTATTTTACTTATACCCTTCTCATAACATATACAATGATTACATATGTAGAAACAAAACTATTCTAGTACCTAGCATAGATTAATATATAATACCTTAATTTCTGGCAAACTCAGCTCTTTTTCCAAAGTATACGCATCATTTCCATCTAGAACCAAAAAATATTTAAGCTTCCAATAGCATACAAACATAAAACACTGATTAAAAACTTAAAAATCACACACACACACACACACACATATATGTATACTAAAATGAATAATAAATTAAATATACTAAAAAAACTAAAATACTCACTCGAAGCTGAGATCAGTTTAGTAGCAAGTATACAAAAGAGAAAAATAGCTTTTTATATCCTTTCCCTTATTACCCAAAATTTGATACACTAAATTATGAGAGAAAAATAATCAAAAGTAATTCAAGAAAAGCAAAACAAGTTGTTACATATCTTGTAATATCCATTCACTCTCATTTCTTCTGTGGCACTTTCTTTTGCTTTATTGTATTCTACAGTAAATTTGTTTGCATTGATATTTTAAGTCAAATTTGAAACACAAGTTTATTGTGTTTTTCAGTTATGTCAGGGATGAGCTGAATTAATGAATAATTAGTCACTTTTCAAGAAAAATTACAGAATTTTGTTAATATTTGACATTATGCATAATTCATTGTATACATCAGAAACATGGTTATACTATTACATTATCATGTGGCACTAAACACCTAAAGAACATTATGAGATATGAAATTTATTAATTTATTTTTAAACACCAGAGGTGCTCGAAACTCACTTTATGTCTGTATCAGTTTTTGTGTCTGAATCACATTTTAAACTGTTGCCATCAAAGGTTATCACAATGAATTATCAAAAAAAAAAAAAAATAATGAAGAATCTGTATGTATGTAAAATATAAAATATTAAGTAAAATTAATACACTTAACTTCTAAGAGTCTGTTTACTAAATTTCTGAAACTTGAGGATACAAGCTATTTGTTCTAACTTGAATTTTAATTTTTGTATATTTATTTGTATTACAAGTACATGATGTAAAAGAATTTTTACCATCATCACCAAAACTAAATTGAAACGTTCATTATATACTACAATACTAAAAGCCAGTTATCTTTTATAAGGAACAGAGGTTTTATGTGTAATGGGCTTTAAGCACCCCACAGCCATCAGCAGGTAGTCACACTGGTTCGCTAGTACACTGGACCTGCCAATTTTGTCAAAGTTTATTATTATATTGTATTTTGTTTGTTTTTATATATTTAGTATTCCATTGTTCTACAATAACAGAACCCGATTTTGTTTTATACTGCGTAAAACACAATTTTATTATTATACACAAGAAATATACATATAGAATACAAGAAATATTTTGATTTTATATTGATTATAACACATGGTTTTACAAGACTTTAAACTGATTGTCATATTTATGACACATTTTCAAGATTCTTCTCAAGAACTCTGAGCATTCTTAATGATTGATACTCCACACTTCAGGACATTTGGAAAAAAATGTTTCAACAATATTTCAAGATATTTACGAACTTACCTCTCAGATTCTTTCAAATTGGAATTAATTCCATTTCCAAATTATACTTTGAAATTACTTTTCAATATATTTTTCTGTATTCAAATATCAGAAAGTTTATGAAACAAATGACGAGGCATATTGAAACCTAAGCACAATTTCCTTGAAGAATTTCATTTGCTTTCTCTTTGCAATTGTAAATATTCAACAAAATTTCTCTTCCTTTGTTTTGCAATAATAGCTTTTCTGGACTGCGTCATTTCTAGATCAATCCAACCTGCATAGCTTGCATGACGCTGCTGAGGTACCTAACTCAAAAACTAAAGATTTCGAGAATTGAAACCTTTCTAATCTAAACCAAAACCTTCTTTTGGTGAGCCTCCGTATTGGACATATGTGCACTTTTAGCTTCAGCTTTCCTGCAGTCAAGATACTACTTTGTTTCGTTTCATCAGATTTCTTTTCTTGAGACATTGCAATAGATTTTGATCTTGTCTCTGCATGAAATTTTAAAATTACTTACTTCACGGTAATGAAAAAGTTTAGTATACATTATTAACAAAATACCATTAAATAAACTCAAAAAATTTTAAAGTAATAAAATGAAGACTTCATGGTAATAAAAGATGTTTAGTATACATTATTAACAAAATACCATTAAATGAACTCAAAAAATTTATAAGTTAATACAATTAAATTTCAGAAATGTTTTACTAAATTTAGATGCAAGATTTGAAATTTGTTGCACAGTTCTCAATTTTAAATCTCTCTTAAAAAAAAAAAAAAAAAAAAAAAAAAAAAAAAAAAAAGGAAGATTTAATTTAGCTGATAAAATAGCTAAAACTTATTAAACATTAACACAAAAACATTTTTCTGCACACTGAAAATAGAAGTAGACAAAATATCAGCCTGAGGACCTTGAACCACTTGTGAATACATTATGATGAATGATTTTTGTTTTACTTACAAGTGAAATGATTACTAGATGTAATGCAGAGGAAGATTGTAAAAGCACCAGAAAGCCATAGCATAATGATTTTTAAAAATTTTTTTATACCTCAAACTGATAAAGCAAACAGAGTGAAGTAGCATCTCGACTACAGGTCAGCTGAAGTTAAAAGTCTGCAATTATCCAATATGGAGGCTCACCAGGAGAAAGTTTTGGTTAGATTAGAAAGGTTTCAGTTCTCAAAATTTTGAATTCAGATTCCGAGTTAGCTACGTCATCTGCGTTATGCAAGCCATGCAAGATAGACTGACCTAGAAATGATGCAGTCCAGAAAAGCTATTACAGTACAAAGTTCGAAATCCAGGCGTCTATTATCCGGAATGATCTAAAATCCGGGCCTCAAAACCTCCAACAACGTTTTTCTTGTAGGCTTTAAGCATGCACATTTGATTCCCCCCCTCTGCACATAATAAAACATCTGCAGAGTCCTGATTTTTAATTTTACTTCGACACTAAATAAAATACCTTGTTCCTGAAGAAACAATCATTTTAGCATAAAATTTGTACAATCAGTAATTTGGCTCCATTGCTGCATATCTGCTTTGGCACACATCTCAAACCAAAACGTTCCACATAGATACATCATTGATCTGACAGCAACTTGGCGAATCATTATTTATTATACTTTCCTTTCATCACCACATCTTTATGAGAACATGACAGCTTGAGTAATGACTCACGTAGCGATGCTTAAACAATTTTTTTATGTTAGTAATTGAATAATAAACGAGAATGGTACCTTTTATGTTGATACTACACTTGACGATGATTACAGATTTAAGTTAAATGTGCTAAAAATGTTGACGAGGAAAAATTTACCAAAAATTTCTTTCCATATGCTAAAAATAGATTTTGTTGATGATACTCATAGACTTAAAGATTACATTTAGGACTATTTGAATTAAGAATAACTGATTTGTTATTTACTTAAACCCAGAACCAGCGCCAGGGCTAGTATGGCCACACCGAGTCGCAGAATTTAGGACCTACAGAGACTGCATCAGGCGGTAAGATATCTAGCGCACCCATCAATAAGGCTTAAGTATATGTGGGAACTTATTTATTCATATCTCTGATAAGTCTTAAGCATGTGCAAAAAATAGACATAAATATAATAAATAACTAAACTAATACAATTCAGGTTTAATTGTCTCAGTGCGCGACAGATGCAAGATAAAATTTAACAGAACAACTTCTTGTTAGTTGCTAAGCTCACGATGCATAGCCAAATATGTATAATGAAGGATAGCTAAATTTGATGACGATAGCCGCTAATTTTAAAGGTGTTTGGATATCGCAAAACAAAGGTGAAATTTTCCAATTAATGGATTTTGTAAAGAAATGTGGAGAAGCAGTAATAAATGAAGATGATATAAAAGAAGTTTCTCATTGTGATAACAATGCTTCTCAATCATCAATCAATTAATAAATGGCAAAATCTATAGTATGGTTCTAGATCCAGAAAATACCGCTACCGATAGTGATGAAAGTGACAGAGAAGTTACTGAAAATGAGAAAATTTCGATTGACAAGTTAGTCGGAATTCTCAATACAGCAGTTACAGGACTTCAACAATGTAACTCAACAAGAGATTATGTCCGTCTGCAGAATTAAAGAGAAAGTATTAGCACACACACACACACACACACACAAAAAGAATCAACTTAAACAACTTACATTGAAAGAAATGTTTAATAAGGTAAACAAATAAATATTAAGCTTTTTTTTGTAAATTTTGATGACCTTTAGATCATAAATACTTCATTATTTCATAAATCACGATTTCATATTTTCATGCCATCTTACTAGATTTAAACTGATGATCTAATATCCGGAAAATTCCAAAATCCGGAATCGCCATTTGTACTGTATTACTATTTTTAGACTAGAGATGTGGAATTTAGGCGTTAAGGTAGTTTAAGTTATAATTTTGATTTACATCATTTTTATCACACACATATATACAGGGTGTATCAATACACGGTGACGAACTTTCAGGACAGATAGAGTACACATAGCAATGCATGGTTGGAAATGCTTTCCTGGTATAGTAGTGATGACACAAATCACGAGATAGGAAGGATACAAAGAGGGTGAGAAAACATGTTTATTATACTTAGTACAGCAAAAACCAAGAAATAAGAATGAAAGCAGACAACAATTCTCATCAAAGAAGGTGTTCGAAATAACGACCCCGGGCATGACTCAGGAACCATGTGTCATGCACATTCCATGCACTGGAGATGTGACGCCTGCATCACAGTCTGGCGCCGTAATTTTGAACACCTCCTTTAATGACAATTGTTGTCTGTTTTTGTTCCTATTTCTCGGTTTCTGCTGTACTAAGCACAATAAACATGTTTTCTCACCCTGTTTGTATCATTCCTTTCTTGTGATTTGTGTCATCACTTCCGTGACAGGAAAGCGTTCCCGACCATGCATTGCTATGTGATTTCCCATCACCTAGGTGTACTCCATCTCTCCTAAAAGCTTGTCACCGCTTTACACACACACACACACATATATATATAGGTAATGCATAAACAATATACATACAGACACAATTTGAAGCTTATTTTTCTTTGTGTAAAAAAATAGTATAGCAATTTCATGGCACGAACATTCTTGCACAGCCAATGAAAAAATTGTGATAATTATTTAGAGTATAACAGAGTTTTATTTTTTCCCCCTGGATGCTGGGGGAAAAATGAAGATTTCAGCTTTAGGTCTAAGCATGAAATTTTCTAATGAAATCTTTAAATGTAATATTTTATTGACTGAGAAATGCAGTCACAGACAGCTGTTAAAGTAAAAGAGTCATGACTTATTTGTGCATTATTATACAGACAAGAACAAATGAAAATATGCATCTGAATGTACACCTAGATGTTATTACTTCATTCTTTAAAATTAGAAATAGTTATAACAATTAAGTAATGATCTTGAGAAAATCTAAAAGATTCATAAGCAGCTATGTTCAGAATGAAAATGGGTAATCTAAGAGAGAAAGGGTACACAGAGCTCTAAATAAAATCCAGGAACTATATTACCCATGTAAATAATTTTAGAAAAATATAAGGACATAGGAAACTTAACACTTAGATTTTAAGTGGTAGACTGCAATAAACTAATTCATAGAGAAAGCGTTTTAAATTCTTACTGCTCATTAAATAATTTCCCTTTTGTGGGATTTTCCAAACTTTTACTTGGCCACTATCATCAGCTGAAAACAGTTTTTTTCCATCAGGATTCCAACAAAGAGTATTTATTGAATGATTGTGAGCTTCTAGTTCTTTTAAAAGCTCAGTAGATTGCTTAAATGCCCAGATCCGGATAACATGGTCAAAACAAGCTGTAGCTAAAATATTTTCTTCAGAAGGGTGAAATTTTGCAGAATACACAAAAGAAGGATGTATAAATGAATTTACTGTGCTCCACGACTTTGTATTCCACATTCTAAATAAATAAAAAAATTCTTGATTAAAAACATTTTGTAATACAATGAAAACAAAATTTCTAGGCAATTCAGACTCTTATTCTCTTTTTAGAAAGACCATGCAATCTTAATTAATAGGATGTATTTCCTTTTATAATTTGAAATAACTAAAAATATCAAGGACATTAATTTTTAATAAGTTAATTGTGTGGGAACTAAGGTGCACAGAAAACTTAAATTAAATGAAAATAGAAAACTAATTTTTTGAAAGCACCTTTTACATAAAATGTTTCTCTTATTTAATACTTTAAACAAATGCTTTATATTTTGACATAATATACATTCTAACATAAGGAAAAATAATTTTAAAATCTTACTTTACACTGTAGTCTCCAGATGCACTTAAAATAAAGCTATCCTTTTGAGACCAATCCAAATCATAAATTACTTGGGTATGAGCCAGTTTTCTTAGAAGCAGCTTTCCAGACGGTATCTAGAAATAATTATAAGGAATTGTATTTGCCCCTTAAAGCCATAGTTATGAAAGTATGCAAATGAAAGTCTTTATAAACAGCTTATATTAAATAAAATAAGCTGTACACATGGATTATTAAAATATAAAAATTACATGCACAAAAATGTTACAAGCTACAAACCATACATTACATGCAAAACACAACAAACAAATAAAAACTCTAAGCACAGCACAAAACAGTCACATTCATCAATAAGGAAGTTACAATATTCCTGTTTAAAAGATGAAGTCAGTTTCTTAGACAAAATCTGACCAAAATAAACCCCTTTTCCATTAAAACAAGGCATCATAACACGAAAATGTTATTTAAATACTTGGTGGAGTGCGAGGCAAAATAATAGTTTTGGATACATTTATATACCCCAAAGTATACATACATTTTTGTAATTCTATAGAGATAGAAAAACATTTTCAGAGATTTTTTTCAGTCTTAGTAGAATTACAGAAAACAAACAACACAAATCTTGCTCTTAACACCACAAAGGGATTTTAACGTTCACGATATACTACTTTGGATAAAAATTATGAAATAAAAATATCACACAAACAGATAAAACTTTAAACATCTATAATTTCTAATCATTCATTAACCAAAACTTCCTCACATGTATGTGTTCACACAGGGCTACCATAAAAGATTCATTCATTTTCAAAATGGCACACATTCAAAAGTATTACATGTACAAATACAAGTCACATATGACAAATAACGGCAAGCTCATCAAAATTCTGAACAGTCTACTAATGTTCTACATCTACTCCCCACGTCACATGACACATGCCCAGGCAGTAGTGGAACTTCTTCCACACATTTGGTAGCATCATACTGTTGATGGGTATCGCTACAGCACAAATTTGCTCCCTGAGCTCATCTAAAGTTTTTGGTAGTGGGGGTACATAAACAATGTCCTTAATGTGCCCCAAAGGAAGAAATCAAGAATAAAAAGCTTGCAGTCTCCTTTTGCGAACATCATGTATATTATGTCTGTTGTAAAATTTGATCAGAATTCTTCTGCTAGTTATTTATGTAATGTATTCCAATACCAAGAATAAATATATTCATATATTCTAAAATTGAGTGCAATTTTTTTTAATGTAACATACAAGTAATAGCAACCTCAAGAATGCCACTAACATCAAATTAATCAGGAAATTACGCGAAAAGAGCCAGAAAACTAAGTTATCAAAACAAAAACCTTTATTAATTTTAACTGCGTTTTATTTTTCATCAAATTACCTGAACATATGTCAGATGTGAAGTGAGTGAAAGTAAATACAAGTACTATGCAAATGAATAAAAGTAAGTACTGTATGCTCAGTAATGCTGGCTCAAGATACCAGCAACATGCACAGTTGCCCAGGGTGCACTCCCCCCCCAATACAAATTTAAAATAAGGAAAACAAATTTTGGTCAATCTGACATTTTTAACACTCTTCTGTCTAAGCCTGAGTGTCACTTGGGTTTAGCTTATGACACCACAAGCTACAGTATTTTTTATTACCCCTTTTTCTTCAGATACTAACATTTTACTTCAACAACATATAGAGATGGCGGCACTGACTGAGCTAGAATCAGCCTTTTGTTGTTTATTTTTGCGAATGTTCTTGTGTTTCATGTTTTCAGCCATTTATGAAGATGTACCATAGTGTTTTCATTTGTTTTTTGTAGGCACTTCAGATTTATTTAATTTGTTCTACTCTTGTGAATTTTCCCTTTTGTGAAGTGCCTCCAAAAAATTTTTCTGGCTATTGTAACAAAAAAAGGTGTCTTCAACCAGAAGCAGTAGTCAAGAAACACCGAAATGTATCAATTGTTTTCAGTCCTAAGTGAAAATGTGGGAACAATGTAGATCAACTTCTTTAGCTACATACAAAAGTCTAGATCTGACACGAGTTTACACTATGATTTACACTGTGAGGTCACACCCACTAAAAATACTGTACTTTTTGCAGAAACTAACAACTCCAAGTGTGAATTAAAAATCGAGATCCCAACTGTAATCCAATTGAAGGCTTAGTCTTAAGAAATAATTTCATACTCCCAGCCTGGAATTCAGGCAATATTGCTGTAAATTTGAAAATTCGACCAGAATGAATGTCAATTACAAAGATCCGGCATACTGGCCACATGAACCATCAAGAGATTAAAGTGATTACATCATTATAAATGGGCCACATCGAGTTATAAACAGCCCAGATTTCCAAAAGATGCAAATAAATTAAGTTTCTCTGGCACAATGATGTATCTGGAAATAAACAATGATAAGAATTTTCTTAGGTGACTTATTTATTCAGAGAGCAGGTACAATTTTTTTTTTTTTTTTGCTTTTGTTGCAGAATGTTTCCCAGTAAGTGAATAGTACAAAAATTTGAAACTAATGACTGGAAAAGCATGGTCATGAATACTTACAGTTACATTAAAAACTACCTGGAATCTAGAGAATCACAAAGAATGTCTAAAGAAATGGTTTGAAACATCACTGCTATTACAGACTAATAAAATTATTGATAAGGAGCTTCAGTCACAAGTAGGTTAAAAGAAAAAGGGTGCATTAGTGTAAAGTTTCAGAGCATTTAATGAGTATCACTCAGTATTTAACTGAATGCAATTTGATTTTACAGGAATTTCAGATCAATTATTTACACCATACAGTGAGAATATTTTAGGTTTTGTTGAGGTACTTGGAAAATTTCATTTAACAATGAGTCAACGTTAACATCATGTTATGTCTAAAGAAGCTTACATTCACTATTGAGGTAAAAATATTCAGAATGAAATAATCAATTTCTTGGGAAATTATGTTCAGTAAACTATACTTACGCTAGAACAGCAAAATATTTGTCTTATTTTAGACTCGACACATGATACGTCATCATGTGAAGCAGATACAATTTTTAGATGTAGAAGACATTGCAATAAAGGAATATTTTGTTATCTATAAACCTGCTATAGAAGCTACAGATCAAGGATTATATGAAGGTATACTTAATTTTCTGAGAGCATTACAGAATTACAAAGACCAGGACTAAGATCATGGTTCAAATATGAAAGGAAAAAAATAAAGGGGTTCATGCACAGATCATGAAAGAAAATCCACTGGCCTTTTATACAGCAAGTGGATGTCTAGCCTAAACTTAGTGGTTGGTGAAAGTGCAACAAGTTGCCTAGAATATATTCTTTTTTGGGTACTGCACAGCAAATCTATGTTTCCTTTTCCGCCTCTGTTGACAATGGCATGCAGTGAAAAAACATATTAACTGCCTCACTGCAACGCCTTTATGCAAGACCAGATAAATGATAGTGCAGAAGAGATTAAGTGAAAATCATTAAAATTGAAATTATGGAAATTTGAGAAGCTCTTTATGAACTTTCAGAAATGCCTCCTCTGATCCTGTAGTGTAACATGAAGCAGAGACTCTTGTAACACAAATAGAAGGTTACAGTTTTCTAGTGATGATAAATGTTTGGAATGGTATCATCGCCAGGGTAAATGAGATCAGCAAAACTATGCAGAACATCCCTGTGGGACTATGAACTGTAGTTTCATTGGAAAATGGTGTAACTGATTACTTGATTGATTAATGTCCAAGAACAGTTAGAAAGTTTCCAGGGGATTTTTAAAGGACTTAGAAGATCTCCCAGATAATAAATTCCAAGTAGTATGTAAAGGTTTAGAGAATAAGTTAAGGTACTAAGAAAATAGTGATATTAATGGATTTGATGGTCAGAAAAAGAGTTAGCGAGTATTTGATGCAGAGCCCATTTTTAGAAGTAAAATAATAAGAAAAAGAAAGAGGCTGTTTGAATATGAGTGCACTGATGAAGTTCAAATGCAGATGACCTGAAAAAAACATTTAAACATCATAAGTTGTTCTAAGTAATAATGGACAGAGCTATCATTTTTTTAATCATTGATTTGGACAGTTAAAAAGTTTCCAGGGATTTTTAAAGGACTTTAAAGATCTCCCACATAATAAATCCAAGTAGTATGTAAAGGTTTAGAGAGTAAGTTAAGGTACCAAGGAAAAAGTGATATTATTGGTTTTGATGACTTGACCAAACTAGATACAACCAAAGAATCCAGAATCTTTCCAGAAGATGTATAGCTTCCGACAGAAGTCAATACCTACTGGTGAGACGCTTTAGTAAACAAAACCTCTAAAAATACATTTATGGTCATCCATGTCTCGAGAGAGAGTGACTTCTTTGGCAATTTTATCTATAGTAAATAATAATATTGCAAATACAATAAATGAAAAAAATGCTATAAAAAGATCTAATGATCTAAAGGCTAGAAACAAAATGTTTAAGTAGGCTGATTTTTCCTACCATGTAGATACTGGCTAAGAAAAACAATATTCATTGCATGAAAAAAAAATCTAGATGTCATGTAATAGTTTCTCAATTCGGTACACATATTGTAAGCCCCTCCCGATAACAGTAAGCTTGGATCCAAAAACCAAACAAAAGTCAGGATTCCTTATTTTAAGTCAAGATTCCACATAACTAGTAGAAGTTGGTATGAACACTCTACTGCCAGAAATTCCCTCATCTCCACTACTACGATCAGAGTATATCTTCAAAGAAGATTGTGGGATCTCATTGATAGTCTCCAGGTCTAACTACTTGATGCAAGCCGGATTCTCAGTATTTTTCTTCATACTAATCAAAAGGGTCTTACGAAAATGAATCCCACCAAGTTTCAAATCAACTCAAAAAAAGGAACAACAAACAAGAAATTTTCAAAACAAGAATGAGGTTCCATGTTTATAGAGGGAAATCCGAGTGTTTTAGCATATGAAAAGGGGCTGAGCTTTTTCAAACGTTGGTTATCTGTCCAAGTATGGAGATAGGCAGAGGTTTTATGTTGATCATTGCAACTAGAGAGCTTGTTATAGTATTTTGAGAGAAGATAACTCTTTCTGAATGAAAGAGGAGGCAAGTTACTTTCATAGAAAAAATTTGGATTTATGGAGATTATCTACTTTTGCTGAACAATCTAGGATAAATAACAACAACAAAAATATAAACTCGCTTTTTTTAGTTTTTTTCCTCATGAAAATTTTTATGATTATACTTAACCAAGCTACCAAAATTCAACTTGAAGCAACCATAGGGTCAGCTCTGATGCCCAGTCACAGATATGGCTCCCCAAACCACCTACCCAAACCATCTTTGCTGCAAAAGATATAAAATACTGTTTTGTCTTCTTTGTATATTAAATATTGAGCTCCCTTACAGTCAGGCTCTAAACAGAAACATGACTACATCAAACAAAATATATTTTTTTCAGTCATTGCATACTCACAGTGCATCAGCATCTATTCTTTAAAGATGACATGCTGTTACAGAGCACATACCATTAGTTCAAAAGATGCCTAGAGTTGATGAAGGCCATTACACAGATTTTGAGTTAAAAATGGCATCTTATTGTAGGTGGATTATATTCAGTTTTCTCTTTCTCCTTGTAGTTTTTTCTTGTAGCAAATATTGAAAAAATTGCTTTCAGTCTCCATCTCCATATGATAATTTCAGAACTTGAGTGCTTCACCTGCAACTATTTCAGACTTCCCCACTTTTAGCTAAATGCTGTTACTAATTAATATCAGGTTTTGGTTTGGCAAAACATATGAGGGCTATCTGCCTAAGTGGAGGAATGCCTTTGTGAGATATTTTTTAGGGGAACTGGTTCATGTTTACATTACACAAAGAAATAATCATTAAAATGCTCATGCAGCCACCCATCTGCTGGGATATTGAACCCAGACTGAACTACCAGTGCTCAACAAATATTTCATTCGGCTGCTGTCGAGCTCTCTAAAATGCTAGGAACAGAAAACAAATGGCTTAGTGCATAATTATTGGCTAGCACAGATAACACTAGGATAATTCACTTCAATATGTGATTCTGAATGTCAGAGTCACTTGCATTATAATGAATAATGATTGTGATTCAGTCACATTTTGAGTGCATTTATCAAACTTTGCTATGTCTGGACTTAGCATCTGGACTTTTGCTATGTCTTAGCATCTGGACTATGCTTGTCTGGACATTTCATCATGTTTTCAATGTCCATTAATTGTTTTGAGTAAAGCATTCGTTAAATTATAAAGAATTTAAGAAAAAAAAATTGTAATTTGGAAGATTTTAATGTAATACTTCTGAATAATCCAATTTATAGGGAGCAAAAATAAAAATACTTACTTCATACACAGATAGATAAAACTGATTTAGATTGCCACTTCCAGTAGCTAATATTCTGTAAGAGGAAAAAACAAATGCAATGATTAAAAGGCACCTAATGGCATTACTATACAAATGACAATTCCTGCAGGAATAGATCTTCCTCACCATTCTTCTACTTTTTAATTCAGTTATTATGAAAATGAATTTTATTCTTTTTATTGAATAAATGAAGCATGTCATCACAGAATAAATATGAACCTTTTTTGTAAAATAATACAATAAATTAGTTTAAATTATGTGCAGAACTACTTTCCAAAAATAAAAGCAACTTCTTTGAAATTCCACCCCTATTATTAAGAACAAATGTTAAAAAAACTGAACATTATGAGTTTTAAATGAAAGTAGACTACAACTCAAAATTGCAAGAAAACATCTTTGCAAGAAACACTAAGTTCATAATACACTGTTTCTTTTATGCATTGCCTAAATACAGCAATGCAGTGGTAGCTTAAGAAAACTGTGACATAAATTTCTCTAGAGGGTGGTGCATTTAAATCACCAAAGCGCTGCGGTTGAGGGCTTGAACAGATTAGCTAAAGATTCTCCCCTTGAAGGATTCAATCAAAACCTTAAGGATTAAAATTTCATAAAAGCTACTTAAAAGGGAAAGAAAAACACACATTATGCCTGCAAGATAGTTCAACACTGCATTGTTTTAGATTTATCAAAAAGCTTAACTGTTAGTGTCATGCAAGCATACACAATACAACTGAGAAAGAATGGCCTCCTCTGTTTTCCTTTTCCCTTGTTCAGTGTGGATCCAATTAAACAATGTATGGAACAGCTTTGCTCACCTGCCTTATGATGAGAAGTTGATGTTTAGAAATGAAAACCTCTTTACTAGTATGATGTTAGTGCATATCATTGAAAAAATGGATACAGCTCTGAATAATTATGTGTCCCCAGGAAGCCTTACACTAGGTATTGCAAAGGCATTTGATCTACAAGCTGATAGATGTGCACTTCAACAGGGAAATTATCCTCATCATCAGGTTTTTCATTAACAATAAAAATTTCAGAGTTCGTATAAGAAATTCATATTGGGGAACTTCAAAGATTTATTCATGAGCCAATGCTACACTTAATGAGTTCTCAACTTTTAGTGGACACTCCAACAGTGTAGACCTTTTGCTATAGAGATGATACAGATCTCATCATCATTTCATTGAACCCAAATCCTGCTCTGAAAACTGCTTCTTTAACATCAGAAAGTGATTTTTGTAGGGGTTTGAAAACTTTTATTTCAGCACTCTTACGAAGCTTTATTTTAGAGCTACGGTCAACTTATATAAAGATATTGGCATCTCCGTGATGGGGTATTATTAAAAAAGCATCCATCAAGCATGCAGTACAAAGTCTGAGATCCGGAATTGTCAGGACTTCATCTATTTCACAAATTTCTACATTTTAAATCATCAGTTTAAATCTAGTAAATGATATGTAAACATTGGATCACTGGTGCTTTGCTTATTGTTTAGGTCAGCTCAAAGAATGCCAAGCCCCTAAGAAGGTTGATGCCAGATCCAGTGCAGCACAAATTTCAGAATTTAGAGGAGCACCAAACAGCGCAATAAGAGGTGGCAAAATTTTTAGAATTCAGGAGAATTTAGAAAAGTTATTGGGCAGCAGAATTGAGTGGTGAAAATTTTTTTAGAATTTAGGGAATTACCAGGCAACTTAACACCCGTAGAGATTACACCAGGCACCAAAATATGTAGCACCAGCCCTGACCACGCCAAACACTTAAGGGCTGGCTGAAAGTATCATCATGGCCAGCATCAAAACAATGCCAATTAAGGTAATGTTTCTGGCTACTGTCCACGTTCCAAGCCAGCTAGTGTTTGGAAATGACATGGAGAAATCTCAGTTAATGTGGAAAAAAGGTCGCAATTATTGCACACCTTTCTTTTTTTTAGCAATACATTCTCCATTCCAAGATTTTATGAGGGGGATTTTTTTTGTATTATTTTATGTATCTATTAATTTTTTGTCTGATGGTCCGAAGGTCCAAATATCCGATCATTCCAGCTACTGAATGTATGGATTTTGTACTTGCATGTAATTAAACTATGTTGACAGTTTTACATAAATTAGTAATTAAACTATGTTGACAGTTTTACATAAATTAAAGTCATATATAATTATTATGATTATAAATTAATATTTAAGTATTACAATCAGTAATTAATTTTTCTTTTCTACTCATGATATTTCATTATAGAAATTTTTGAATGTAAAACAATTTGCATAACATAAAATAAATGCTAAAAATGAAAAGAATTCATATTAACACACAGAGTTTAGAACAGTCAATTTAACAATTCAGAACTTATTCATCAGATCACAGAAGATCACTCACAGTAGTATGAAATATGCAAATGTGTCAAATGATAGAAGGATTTAAAATTATTTACCTGCCAAAATTACTGAATTTTAGAATTTGACAAACATTTACTGTCTCCAGGGACACAGAAACTTTTGTAGGTATTTTACACAGTTCTCCTTTCTTCCTAGACCATTTTATTTCCTTTTCATTGTCCATAACTGACATGCTAAATCATAAAATAAAAAATTAAAAAAAATCCAATTTATTAAAAACCTTTTATATGGTATAATGCAGTCTGTAAACTTAATACAGCAAATTTGAAAACTAATAGGGTGACAAATTATGCACATACACACACACCTATATATGTGTGTGTGCGAACCTCTAATGGTAAACACATCCAGAAAATAACCACCTTTGAAAACAATGAATAATATACATAAGTCTTGATAATTAAGTTACTAATCAAGAAGATAACTGTTATCTGACTAAGAACACCAAATTATTAGATGGCCATTGCAATGTCTAATTTCAGATCAACTAATATATGTTATGCACTAAGTAAATTAGTTATATCACAATTTTTTTTCTATATGAGCAAAATTACATTTTTAATCAAAAAGAAAAGTTAACAAAAATTTAGAGGCAAATTTTTTTTGCACCTGAAAAGAGAGATGTGTCTGTATGATCACAGTTTCATTCAAAACCTATGCCACTTCATGGTGGCTTCTATGACTGATTTTAAAATCGGTACTTTTTTTTGACCCCCAACAAGAATGAACTATTTCCGAATCATAAAGTTAGCCTTTTTTAGAACAGTTAATTCACCGTATAAGCTTGGCATATGTGTAAGTATATATGATACAGCACTCCAATGAACGACTCATTGTATTGTAACATGTTTTATGTTTTTCATTTTCTGTTTCATTAGTTGGGAATATTTAACAAATCAAATTTCCCATAGTAACCATGTACCATAAGATATTAATACTATTTTATGTGCTACTATGGTTAGTTAATCACAGCTTTTAGATCTCAGAATTATCAATTCAATTAAACTTGAATGCCAAGTTTACACGACTACTTTGATAGTACTTGTTAATTCAGTAGACTACATAGATGGAGTAATTAAAAAAATATGTTTGGTGGATTTAATCTCATATATAAAAACAGCATAAAACACTGTAGATGAGAATATAAATTTTTTTTAAAGAAAACCAATTTGCAATAAGGCATAAGTACAAGAAATAAATTTTAGTCTTGATAAAATATGAAATCAAAAAGCTAGGTAAAGAATTTGACACTGACATAAAAACATTAATAAAGTAGAAAATGATTGGTATGAAGACATTTTTTTAAAGATGCCAGAAATTGCTTCTATTTTTTTAATACAGAACATGAAAAAATTTGGGGTATTCCCTTAAATGAAACTTTTAAATTTGTTAAATAAGCTAAAACAGTCAGTTCAGTATCTAGGAAATATCAAGATGGTTAAGTTAAATTCCAAGTTCTCATGAAGTACAAATTACTTTAGGAAAGGAAATGACAAAATGTAGACCAAAAGACAAAATGTAGGTGCAAACAGACTTACTTAACGAGCAATAAATGAATGTTTTTGAAATTATAAAATGTAATTTATAATGTCAAAATTTTGCGAAACCCAATTAAAAAAATTTAGTGTCTTAAAATATTATTCATTTACAGTATTTCAGAAAATTTACTCTTATAGAAATCTTTTTTTAAAATTTAGTTTTACTTCTGCATTATGCACAACATATTTATGCATTTATTAGTTTCATCAATATTTAAAGTATTGATACACCAAAACAACCACATACTCCACTGCCATTTTAAATTTTCTTGGAATGGTTTATTTATACATGCATCTAAAGGCTGAACTAATGGTGTTAATCCACCTGGAATAACCTGCCACATCTGTATTACACTCTTTTAAAATAATTTCTTCATATTAGCCGTTAAATAAGATCTGAACATGTCCCAGGGTAAAACTTCTTCTGGATTATTTAAGGCAAAAGGACACTTTTACAAAATATTTCTTACCCACAATTTCCCACCGTTTTAACTCATCCATCCTTTTTCGTCAACATGAATGAACATACCATTTGGGAAATTACATTTTGGCATCATCTTTTTTTTAAAAAAAAAAAAAAAACTAACCATGGGTTTTAATTTTGAACTGTCTGCTAAACAGGAAAGCACTATGTTGAAGTAAAAATTTTCTAACCTGTTGTTTTTATGTGAACCGTGTCTGTTCCTTTCACATCAATTGTTTTACTTCCTATCACTTTAAACATTACTAGGAGTTTCATCCATATTTCCAGTAGTGACAGTAAATACTTTTTTGCCTTCATAGGTCAACACATACTTCAATTTTCGGAAGCCTTAGCGAAACTTTTGTTTTTATCATAGAACTATATTATTCCGTGCCATAATTCTACTACAACAATTCAAAGTTGCTTCAAAGGTTTAGCATTGATTTCTATTCTTTTTGGTCCACTTTAAAGCAAATAAATGCATACTATTTCTTGTTAAAATTGATCCATTCTAGCGCTTTTCTAGGACCCCTGTTCGCTACACTTTCTTCTAGGAAAGGCCATTTCATTACTCTTTTATGGAAAGCACATTTATTTTTTCAGCAACACCAAATATCCTTTCTGCAGCACGATTTCCCTTTTCTTCCGCAAAATGAATTGCTTTGCATTTGATACTGTGTTTATTTCTTTTTGCGGGAGCCATATTTGCTACTAAAAGGAACACTAGATCAGCTGTATTTCAACTAAAGCAAATGGATAGCCTTCAAATTTCACTTCAAAATCATTGCTTCAAATGGCTGCAGAAAAAGAAAACTTCCAACTCCTACTAACTACACAAACATCTAATTCCTCATAGTATTCTTTTGGACACTTGCATCAAATTCAATCCACCCTGTCTGCATTGAATTTACCCCCCCACACACATACTGTTCTCCTTATCGTTTGTCAATTTGGTATACTATTGTTTCAAAGGTTAGGACAAATCTTTAAATAAGTTATCTTAAAAGATAACAGTATTGCACATTTATCTTTAAGGTTTCTTCATGAAGAAATAGGTGAACATTACACAGCGAATATACCTAAAAATTAAAAAATTTAGCTTGAAATTATAAATGTGTTATACACCAGTGTGCGTTATTATGCCAAAAAATATGGTTTATATATATATATATACACACACACAGCGTATTTTCCGAACCCTCTTCGCGGTACACATACACACACATATATTATGCACTCATATACTTGGTTTCTTTATTGAGCACATTTTATATGGTAATTTAACGTTTCCTTATCATGAAGTTGATCTAATTTTGAATATATAACTACTTACTGCATTTGTATATGTTTCTTTAATTTAGTATTTTGTAGAAGTCTGAGTGGACTGATGTTTAAATTGTAAGGCCACTTCAAGTAGAGCCAGAGAGTTGGACAGAAATATCCATATCGAGGCTTGGCTGTATTTTAGAAGTTTTCAGAAAATGGGTTTTTGAAGTCCAATGAGAGACTTTTTTTGGAGGGTTCCCTAAGTGATAACTCTATCCCTTAAGCAAAGATATAAATATGAGACTTCATGGAAGCATGACCTCAATGAGCAGCAGTACAAAGAAACTGTCTGCTCAGTGATTATTGCTTTAGAAAAGAAAGTGTCCAGTGAACATATATTGACAAAACTATAGCTCTTTGGACATTTTTATAAACTTACAGTAAGAAACACCATTATACAGAGTTTATGTGCTATTTACAAGATATTTTTTATTATTCATTTTTGCTATGAAAAAATATTACAACTGATCCAACTACTTAATTTTTGGAGATACAAAATAAGTTGTAATGAAGAAAGAGAGAAGGATAACTTGAAAGTTAATTGAAGGCAAATTTCAGCCATATATTGACAATGATGGAAAAAAAAAATAGACAAGTGGGTGGTTCCATGAAATGCATAGAGTTTTCTTCTTTTTAAAACTAATGTCAATATGAGGTAAAGTTTTCAAAATACGGAGAAGTCAAAGATGCTTCAGAAGATATCTTGATAGGACATTTCTCTCATAACTGAGATTTTCCATATGCATTGATTTTCTACAAAACACATTTCCCATCACGCTATTGTTAAATTTTCCTGCTTGACTTTTAGATGTTAATATAAGTATCACAACAAGAAGCTCCTAGTTACTTGCATATGATTATAAAATATTAAATAATGGACATCCATACCTGATACTCTTAAGTAAATAAATGAAAAATTATATTTTTGACCTTTCCAAAACACAGAATGTTACACATAGAGAATTTAATGCACAGCTTAGATTAATTTGGAGTGCACTATTATTTTCTAGCTATATAAATTATAAAAATGTGTAAATACTTAAAATAAAAAAGTACTAAAGTTATAATAAGCATAAAAAATTACACTCACTACAAATTTATAATTATATAAAAATGTAAAAGTGTTTCTTGCTATGCAAATTATAAAAAAATATATATATAAGTGTATTAATTATTACATTAATGACTCACAGCAAAATTGCAACCTTTGAAAGACAAGGCCATTCAGCTCTTTTTCATCACGTCACCATGAAAAGTGTTAAGAAATCTATTGTATTAGTTGGCCGTGAGTTATTTATTTACTCTGAATGAATGGAATACATTTTTTTTTCGCACTCTTCATGCTGACATTGCAATACAGCAGTATGGCCTTTCTCCATGTGCCTGTGTTTTTTCAATGAAATCTTAATCATACTCATAGTGATATAAAAAAGTTATGAGTTCCTTAGTTACACAAACAAATGATATATTTTTGATTGTGAAAGGAAATCATATTTTTGATTGTGAAACTAAATCAGATGAGTACTTGAATACAGCAAAGAACACAAGGGCTATTAGCCTGGAAGAAGAAGGCATTTGTAAAACTGGATCACATTTACATTATACAGTACAAAGTCCATAATCCGGACTCGTCGGGACTTTGTCGTTTCCGGATTATAGATCATCAATTTAAATCTGGTAAGATGGCATGTAGAAATGATACAATTAAAAATATGAAATTGTATTTATGAAATAAAGAACAATTATGATCTAAAGGGTATCAAAATTTACAAAAAAAGCTTAATATTTATTTGTTTACTTTATTAAACATTTCTTTCAATGTAAGTTGTTTAAGGTGCTTCCTCAAGAAATTCAAAAAGTTCCTTTTTCTTTTGTCATATATAGTGGACTTTCCAATGCCATACTTCTCGCATAATGTTGAGACGGATAGGCCTTTATCCATTTTTTTCAGTAATTCCACTTTTTGTTTAATGGACATCAAAACATGCTTTCGCTTTGTAGATCCTTTGGCAGCTCCAGAATTGGAAACTCTTTTTGACATAATCGAAAGTTCAAGCTTAATTTTTATAAAATTGTTCTAACAGTCTGCAAAAAATAATAAGCCGGATCCAATTAGAAGATTAAGAAACAGCACAATCTGCAACATTAACTGAAATGCCTAGATAATTTTAGCCTAGCTCATACCATCCGTTATACATTAAACGTGCATGCATAAACACATTATGCGCATGTGTAAATGAATTACGCGTAAATGCATTATGCGCATGTGTAAATGCATTATGCGTTTACACATGCGCATAAAGTTTGTAGCTTTGAGGTCCGGATTATAGATCATTCTGGATTACAGACTTTGTACTGTACATGGAAAAATGAACATGAGATCACCCATGGAGCTAGTTTGTTTCTTGGGTTTTGAGCCTGGTTCAAATTACCAGCATTAAGTGAAAAAAAATCAGATTTTGGTTATTAAGAAAATTAATATGGACCCAATATGAATTATTATGAATTAAAAGGTTTAATATATCCATATTTAGAACATAGAAGATGTTACAGCCAGAATTCTTAAACTAAGATGTTTTTATAGAGAATCCTTACACTACTGCTTCTAATGTCATCCTTTCATGCATTTAAGGTAACAAACCAAAGTTAACATAAAACCTATGAGTATGAGAATGTATTATGAACTTATTCAAAGTATGAGAATAAAAAAAAAAAAAAAAAAAAAAAAAAAAAAAAAAAAAAAAAAAAAAAAAGACGTTATATTTTACTTTTAGATTTATAAATCAAGAATATTAATCATCTGAATGACATGGTCAGTTTAATTCAGCCATACACTTTACTTCTACTTTGTAATAACCAGTTGTTCTCTAATGTTATTTAATGGCCTAAAAGTATTTTTTATTATTTGTGAGCTTTGAAATGAAGTTGAATAAACTGAATAATGTAAGTTATAAAAACTAAGTAAATACAACAATGCGTATAATACAGTACCAATAATTCTACTCAGACAGATAAGCATATTAAGGTTAATTGATTAAAGCTAAGAATAGAAACATTATCTGCCGAAAGGAAGGGATGGTTTCTTGTAGGTCCTTTTAAGGGGAACTGACACATGTTCATGTTATCCATACAGTAAACTATGCAAACACCTATGCAACTAGCCCATTTACAGGCATTTGAAAAAGGGTTGGATGACTAATATTAGTTGCTTAACAACTGGTGGGCAAGAGGGTTAAATAAAAGTATTTTATAGTTTCATTTCCAGTAACATTAGTAAGTGGAGCTGATTTCTCTGGAAGAAAAAAAATTCATGCACAGAAATTATCATAGGATAAAAATTTTAATAATCATTTTATTGTTAATTTATACACAATTAACAAGTAAAATATTTTTCTTGTAGCATAAAAAAAATTCATTTTATTTAGTAGCTAATAAAAATAAAGTTATCTTTATACCTTTGAAAGGCATCTTGTGCATGTACTGCAATATCTGTATTTCCTTCAGTAAGATGGTCTGCTTTAGTTGTACCTACTTCCTGGAATAAAATATTTGCAACATTTATTTAATGTACAGATTAAAACGCTTAAACTATAAATTAAGCATGAAAGCAAAATGAAAAGGTATAGCTTTACAGTTACGGAAAAGGAATTTGCATTTATTTAGTAAATTTATTGTTAAAAGTATCATTAATTAACATTCTATTACATTTCTCTTTTTCTTATTAACATAAGTAAGTTCACTTTGCATGCCCCATTTTATTCCTACAAATTAACAATAATGGCAACAACAATAAATAAATAAATATATAAAGCATTTGTGAATAATTTATAGCAACCTAGAAAGGCAAAATACACATTTAAGGTGTGGTGTCTTTAACAGGTCAAAATATGCTAAAAACTTTTAATACTTTAAAGCTGAATATATTTAGGACTAAGTGTTTTGGGCTACGATTAGGAAACTCTGCACAAATATTCTGACATTCTTTATATTGCATTTGCTACCTTTATGTTTCAGATACTAAAATATTGTTAAAAAATAAATAAAGCATATAAATAAAGCACGGCATTATGGATATAGAAATAATTACTTTTGGCTAATATTTTATTTATAATTAAACTGACCTGCTTTAAAAATAATCAAATAATACTCTGAGAATGCAACATTGACTATTCTTTTCATATAAAATTAAATGTAATTTCTGACTTTTTTACACAATATGGATAATAGTGATTTTATACTCATATACGGTTTATAGTCAACATTTCTTGCAGTTCTGATCAATGGTTTCAAAAAATCACATCCACAAATATGAAAATCATAATGTTAACAAATATTAACTTAAAGATCTGTGGGGGTTTTACCTTTCCCCTCATATTTCTTCATCATTGACACTGACGCAACATCTTGATTTCTCCTTCTAGCGCATGTGGCTAAGAACCTCGACTCTGCAGGATAACAAAAAAGAATTTTTCTCTTCTGTTTCACAAGTTTGTGCACACACTCTGTTCATCGCTCAGATTAATGTCACTCTAATGCTATATATGTATTTTGATTGATTAAAACAATTTCTTCTTTACAAATTGGTGTTTAATAACTATCTAAAAACCCCAAACTGGAGACTCAGATGTGATCTGAGCACGCAACCTTCTAATATGCTTCACCATATCTTGATGAGCATGTTCAAGGAGTTTTTAAGAGATTAAAAAAAAAACATAATTTGACTGTCAACCTTCCTAAATGCACATTTACCTCAGAATACACAAAATTTTTTGGTCACATTATTGAACGGAATCAAATAGAATCATTCCTTTACCATAAAAAATTTAAATTATTAAAGATTTTCTACAACACAAAACTGTTAATGAACTAAGACATTTTGGGGGAATTCTTAATTTCTACAGGAGATTTTAAATCATGCCACTAAAGCTCAACTTCCTTTAAATGCTATGTTGGGAAGCCGTAAGAAAAATGGCAAAACACCCTTTGATTGGTCAATAAACAGTGAAATACAGGGTTAAACAGAAGGGCTACCACACTCCTTTGTGTGACGCCTCACCGATGCAATTCTTGTAAGGGATGTTTAAAACTAGCAATGTGGACGAAATGAATTTTTAATCACATTTATAGCTTTCTAAAGCAGTATCAAAGTCAAACTGACGACTTACAGGCCGCATGCATTTAACATAAATTAACTAACATTATTATAACAAGAATTTGAAGAAAAATATTTAAGATTTTAATGGTCTGGAGTGCAGTTTTACATTACATTCATTACCAAAAATGAATGTAACTCTTTGGAAAATACAGAAATAGAACTAATTAATTTACACTATGATATAAATCTTGTTCAAACATTTTAAGATACAAATTTGATGAGTTTTTATTATTAGTATTTGTCTTAAGTTACGAATTTTTGCAATACTTTTTTTTTGAGTACATTTACATGCCTTTTTTTATTCTGTAGTTGAAAATTAAGAAGTCTAAGAAAAGAACCAGACTGCCAATAAGTATCTAAAATTTGTGATGATACCCTTCACTAATTTCCATCCAAGATTACAAACTTCATAAAGATCGAAACATCATGAGGTGATGTAGCTGAAAGGTGTAGTAAAAAGAAAAGATGTTTACAATAATTTACATACAAATACTTTTTCTGTTTAGCGTCATAAAAAAATCTAATAAATAAAAGAAAAAGACTAGGTTGTCATAATTTATTCTCAAGTTTTGGCCTTCTTGGGAAGCTTTAGTACAATTCTTTTTCGTTTAAATATTAAAGTTACTTAGTAGTTCAATATATTACTATTATTTGAATAAATGCAGGCTGAAAATTTTAATATTTAGCTGTCTGTTTGAATTCCAAATTATGACCAGCAGAAATATCTTGCAGATATCAACTTTTAGATTTCGAGGAAAATATAGGTATAAATTTGATATTTTTTCCGTTATTTTATTTGTTTGTTTTTACAAATATCTAGTAAAAACTTTCAATTTAATGAACAAATTTCGCTTTGTAAAAAAAAATAAAATCCCACTTTTTTTTTTTTTTTTTGTAATTGCTGCCCATCAGCTAATTTCAAATTGTGCATTGGCCCAAGTGTAATGTAAGTTTGAAACCACTGCTGTAAGGTTTTCTTCTTACATTGTAGCAAAGTGGCATAAAATTCATGGAAATTAGAAAGGCAGTGATACATTTATTTAATATTTTTGCACAGAACAATTTGCTTTTGGCGAAAAAATGGATAGATGTGTCAAAGACAGGGTTCTAATATTGTGAAGAACACAATAATTTGCAGCAAACATTTTCTATACAATGATTGTAAAGATCACATGAAAAATCTCTGTGTTAAGTGTTTTGTGGCAATTCAAGCAATTACCACAAAAGAAACTGATAAATGAAAAATCGTTTGCTTGAATTGCTATAAAAGTAACTGTTAAAATTTAATACTATGCTGAGTGCTTTTAAAAGACTACACCGATTAAATTTGAAGAAAATTCATTCTGACTCCGATTACGAACATGATGATAGGAATAATAAATCAAATTCGAATAATTTTAAAATAGAACTCTCAAATGGTGATGCAAGCAATTGCTGAATGCCCTAATTGTAAAAATAAACAAGAATGCACTGATAATTTGTAAAAAACAAAGCTAGCTCAGCATTTTACTATTTTATAATCACATCAAACGTCAGAGTAATTTTCCATAAAACAGGCAGCTTCCTCCTTTGCCACTCTTTTGAAAGATTAAGTAAGTCTCTTTAGATACTGTGTAATGTATGCGTATGAAATGTCAGTTAGACAATTATTTTTACAATACCTGTTATTATATCAAATCAGAAGAGAAATATACCAATATAAAATTTATAATTAGGTTAAAAAAATCTTAGATTAAATTTTGAATAAAAGTATTGATTTCAAGGGCAGTCAAGCATAAGTTCCTCTTCTTTAGATGATGGAAAAAAAAAAAAAAAAAAAAAAAAAAAAAAAAAGACACACATATTCAAAATTATGCTACACTAATTTTTTTTTTTTTTTTTTTGGTGTGTGTGTGTGTGTGGTAACTTTAAAAAGCTGTTTTTTTTTTTTTGTGCCTAACTTTAAAAAGCTGTTTTTTATAGTTATCTTAGAAAGAGTAATAGAATTCTCCCACTTAGTATGCAGATGATGAAAAGATAATGAATGCCATAGTTTCTTCCCATCATGATTAAATAAGTGCACAGGGGGGAGGGAACCTACAACTTTTAAGGAAATGTAGCATATTTTATCTATCATTTTTTTAGTTAATAAATAAGTATTTTTAACTTTTTAAACTTTATAAATGCTTACAGTAGTGACATCTTCTCTTCTAAATTAAAGCTATTTTTTCATGCACAAGTTTCTTAAAGCTGTTTTTTTTTTTTTTTTTTTTAAATTTAAAACATTAATTTTGTTGCTGCAAATTGAGTCTCTGCAGTCAGTATCAACATAACTATGTCATCACTCGTCACTTCCTGTTTCAGGGGGGAAAGCTCTATCTCTTCGAAGTCCCAAGGAAATAGTTTTTGAGTCATGTAAATAGCTACTGACACAAACAACAAATTTAGTCCATCCAGATCCCCCCAAAGAAAATTGCTCTTATGTGTGCTGTCTCAGAAAAAGCCATAGGCACTTGCAGCCAGCAACTTAATGTACAAACTTGGGAACCACTAGGAATCTTTTTGAGGAAAACTGAGTGATACTGAAAAGAAATATAGTATGTATGATAGAGAGATTTTGGTAATATTTACTATTAAATACTTCAGATATCTGCATGAAGGCATGAACTTTACAGTGTTATAGAGACATTAGGTTATTTGGAAGCAGGAAAGATGAAAAAATATGCAACGCCTCACCGGGAATCAAACCACGGACCTCTGGAATACGTGACCAGTGTGCAGTACACCACACCACGAAGGCATGCCAAGAAGGTGGGAGAAATATCTTATATACTAACCCCTTTTAAAGGGTGACTGGGGTTTTTAGGGAACCCAATCCCCAAATCCTGGGTGAGGAGAATCATTATTCACAACCCTTTTAGTTTGGGCACCACTGAAGAGACATTAGGTTACTTCGAAGCAGGAGAGATGAAAAATACGCAATGCTTTCGCCGGCAATCGAACCACAGACCTCTGGAACACACATCTAGTGTGCAGACCAACACACTACAAAGGCATGCCAAGAAGTCAGGAGAAATACCTTATAACAGATCCTAAGCCACTTATAAAATTTTCCCAAAAGTATGACAAGCTCTCCTCTTGACAAATTAATCAATTTCATATGTCAGTTCACTACTGATATTTAACATGTGAGAGGTGCAGGAAATGGATGAGCTCACGCTCTTTCTCACATCGAAATGGTTACTAATGCAATTCCTTTGAACTCTGAGTATGTCGCAAATGCAACGCAGTTACACCATACTCCAATCTTTTTTAAACAAAGAAAATTAAATTCCTTAATTAAAGAAGTTAAAAATGCCTGAGATAATTATAGAACTATGTTGCAACATTTCAAATGGACAGTCAGTTTGTTACAGACAGTCATTGAAAAACTGTCTTTTCAGCCCTGCATAACCTTTCTCATCCTGGACCTAAAGCAATGCTGAAGTTGATCAGTGATCGATTTTTCTGGCCCGGAATGAAAAAGGATGTCACAAACTTCACTAAAACTTGCATATAATGTCAAAAGGCTAAAGTATCTCACCATATACACTCTCCTTTAATTACTTTTATAACTCTTGATGAGCATTTTTCATATATCACTACAGAATTGATTGGACCTCTTCCTTCATCTCAAAAAATGTCTTACTGTCTGCCACGCATTGCCTGATATACTCCTTGGAGTGAAGCTTATCCATTGAATGATACATAGGTAGAGATCATTGCTACTGCGCTTTATGCAGGCTGGATCTTTATATCCAGTGTACTCGCCCAGATCATCACCGATTGTGGCAGTCAATTTTGAAGTGAGCTCTTTCAAGAGCTACCTAAAAACTTTGGTTTTCACCTTCCTCTTAGCACCACATGCAACCCATAAGCCAATGGAATCATTGAAAGATGGCATAGGTCACTTAAAGAGCTCATAATTTGTCATACATCTCTACACTGGACTAATGTATTGCCCTTTAGCTCTTTTATGATTTCAAATTGTTTAAAGAAAACTTAACTGCTGTCCAGCTGAATTTACACATGATCAAACTTTACGTCTTCTGTGACAATTTTTCATTCCTCTCAAAAATCTGAAGAATGACTTCTTACAAAAATTAAATAATCACACAGAGCACCTTTGTCCGACTGCTATAACAAATCACTCAAAAAAAAAAAAAAAAAAAAAAAAAAAAAAAAAAAAAAAATACTTGTCTACATAGGCAAATGTTCTCATGTTCTATGTATAGACACAGTTAAACCCTCTTTGTACACACCCGAAAAAAGGACATATTATTACTGTGTCTAAGGACTGGGTAACACTGCTTATTTGGTCCCAGACAATGTATCAGCACCTCATATTTCACCTGATGTTGACAAGGCCTCATAACAGCAACCAGATTGTCCAGTAAATGAGGTCTCCTGAAAAAGTGCTCCTATAAAAGCAAATTACCAAACTCATTCTGGATGTCATGTTCACTTTCCAAAACAAATTGTATAATACTTTTTTTTTTCACTTACAGATTTTTGAATGCAATTTTTTTTTTTTTTTCTGGGAAGGGAGATGGTGTAGGGTTTTACCTTTTCCTGGCTTGGTTTCTCCTTCTAGTGCATGCGTTAAAATTCGTTAAGTATCATAGTTATATATTTAATGATATTGCATACATAACCATCATACTTTTATTTGAAAATTTAAAAGTGACAAGTAGAATTTTTCACAAGATTTTCAAATTTAATTACAGTTCTAACAATTCTTATGTTAGAAACAAAATAACAGGTCATTTTATATATATAGATAGGGTATTCACACAATTCTTCAGTATTTTTTGAAAATTTAATCAGCTTGTTTAGAGGAATCATTCATGTAAACAGTAAAATAAATTTTTTTATAAAATCTTAATAGAAAGAGAAACTGATGGGGAACCTTGTAAGCATATAACTTCCTTAAAATGAATAAATATATGACAGATTTGCCAATAAGTCATTTTTTATTACGTATAACTGAGTATTTGTGTAAAACAGTACACAGAAGTACTTTATATGTAGTTCAGAGGACTGAACATGTGGAATTTGCTAAAATGCAAATGTAAACAAATTATCTGTTCCTTTAAATAGCAAAATTTATGGATTATTTTTTACTATAACTTTGGTTTTTAGAGCATATTTTACAATGGGTTTGTTTAAAATACTTGCAAGAAATTGAATTTCAATATAAAAGCATAAAAATACCTAACCTCTTAAGGCTTATGTTATATAATTCATTCAATAAAAAATAACAATTTTGAATAACTGTGCACAGTTGAGTTTTAAAAAAATTGTTCAGCTTATTAACATGAAAAGGATTATAAAATTTACCTATTCTTTTATTATTTATAGAGATTGCATAATATTATTAAAAATTCTCAATGGAAATTCAAACAAGCATTCAGCAACTAGTTAGAAAACTTGAAAATAATGCAGATACAGAGAACATTTGTAGTTCATCCTAATTACAGTTTTTAGCAGCTGAAAAAGATGGCTGAATGAACATTTTTGTGGTTTTTCACATGGATGAAATAAATATGAGCTAGGTTCCCTTTAACCCTTTCAGGACAGACATTCCATATACGCATTCCCTAAGAACGTCTCTTACAGCCAGGCGTCCCATCCACGCATCACTAAAGATTGCATTCAGATGACGGGTGATGCGTATACACATTTTAAGCTGGAACGTTTTTCTGAAGGCCACTAGATGGCATCCTATGTTTTTTAGTTTTAAAATGAACACAGTTTTAGGTTCCTGACCTTGAGTTTGATGTATTCTGCTTGACTTTTTTATTTTACTCATCAGCTGTTGCGAGGGTGTGTGGGGGGAGGGAAAGCGTAAACAGAGGTGGACTCTTTAAATCGTTGCACGCTAATGAAAACATTCACGTGTCTGATTTATATCCAATTCGTTTTTTATTCTATTTTTTTCCCTCTACTATGTACGGTCTTTTAGGGTTACTGTGTGGAGTTCTTTTACGTTTTGCATTGCCTTCAGATATATTTCCGTTTTTTCTTCTTCTCTTTTTATTCAGGAAAGCCTCACCTCCAGTCTATTATGTTGGGAAGGCACTATTTATCAGAGGAAGAATACCCATGTATGGTTAATGAACCATTTACTAACACTAACGCAAATGAAAGTGATGATCATTTTCTAAAGAGTTAGAAAGTGATACTTTTTCTAAGAGTTAGAAAGTGATATTTCTCCGTGCTTCAAGATTTACCACACTCAATCTTTATTTTAAATTTTGTTACTTCTTACTATAAATAATCTTTATTGTGTTGTTTTATTAAGTTTAAACTTTATTGATGGATTTCATCAATTAAAACTTTGGAATAATTTGA